AAGCAGTTGCATCTGCGAGTTTTAAAAGAGTTTTAAAAGAAATAAAAATTTTAATTGATGACATCTTCATGATGCACCCTTGTATGTCTTAAAATAAGACAAAGACAATAATATTTCCAGACTTAGCCTCATGTCCATCAGAGAATCTGACATCAAAAGAAAACGATACAATTAACGTGAGCTGTCATGTCGAATATGCGGGGAGCAGAGATGATTCACAGAAACCAAATATAACGTGGGAACTAAATGGTATTAAATAGAGATTTCGAAACTCACTTATAGAATGTTCATAACTCCCGTCTGTAAACTTATAACTTATGAAGCCTGTATACTGTACATCCATAGAATAGGTGTGATATTTTCGTAAGACGATGATTTATAAGATTATCCTACACTTACTGTACTAAATGTATAATAACATGAAAAAGTAAATTTGATATTTATTGGCAAAATGAATATCCGGAGGATATCGTAATGATATACTCCGGGCCGAGGATATCGTGACGATATACTCCGGAAAACCCAATATGCGGAGTATATTGTGACGATATACTCCGCTTGTTGATTTCCCGCCAAATTGACTCTATTTGGCATGAAATTCATTTTACAATGATATTATACATTCAGTACACTCCTTGTAAGTGTAGGATAATAAGAACATCCTAGGATTTTTTTCAGAATATCATTTTAATCTACTCGGTGATATTGATATATGCACTCGTTCGCTTCGCTCTCTCGTGCAAATATCAATATCACCTCGTAGATAAAAATGATATTCCTCAAAATCATAGGATATCCTATAAATATCATACTCATGAACGTATAGAGCTCTGCAATAAATGATGACGTAGTCAAATGCATACGTTTTACGGGAATAATAAACATACTATAAATGATCGAGTTGCGGAATCTCTCTAATAAGTTCAATATGCAATCTCTATGATTAAATAAACTCACCGAACATATTTTTAATCATTCGAACACTGACAGTGCCCCAAAATGAAGGCATTTAAATTGTGCATATAACCATTACAGGCGTTGTCCAGGCAAAAGAGACTGAGGAGACGACACCTGGGTTGTCCAGGTCTACGTTTCGCAAGAGAGCTTCTCATTTGGATGATGGGAAAGAACTGAATTATTCGATCAAAGTACTGAATGTCGAACAACGCTGTTCCATTAAACTTGATATACAATGTAATATATACATTCTTGAATCTAAGAAGATAGGCGGCACTTAGGTTTTTGTGATAGCTATTGTTAAGTAGATCTCGGCATGTTTTAAATCAGCAATACAAAAATGCAAACCAATTATTTTCTAAGTACATATAAGATTAAACTCATGAAAGAGAAAAATGTAAGATGTTCTGTTTGAATGATATTTTTTTCAAAGATCCAGCTCAGAAGCCTGTCCTTCACTTTGATGGTAACGCTATCGAAGGCAAGACAGTCGTGTATGTCACAGAAGGATATAACGTACATTTACATGGCATATCCCGAGGTAACCCTCAACCTGTATACAAATGGAATTATCATTGGAATGTAACCAATGAAGAGTCAGGAGATACAAAGCGAGTTGACCACATACAACAAAACCAGACTGGGATATATAGATGTTGTGCGTCGAATGTGCTAAACAAGAAGATATCATACAGTGAAATAACGCTTCGTGTTGTCGGTATGTAATGAAACTATGCAATCTCACCAGAAATGTTATGTTTAAGCTTTAGCAATCCTATTTCATTTTAATATTTCTAAAACGAAATACCACCACATTTAGGATAGATTTCATCATTGCTTCATTCTTTGTATACATATCTAATATAATTATGTTATATTTTCAAGCAAAGGCATCAACGCACGCATATCGTAACAACCAGACCATGACATACATACTTTTAGCCGTAATTGGAATTCTCGTAATTATCATCATTCTACTACTCTTCCGAATAAAAAAAGTAAAAAGAGACAGATTTAGACATTTAACCCGACCTGCTCATAGAAGGATTGCTCAATAGAATCTACAAGTTAACCAGTGGTAAATATTCCACCTGTTAAAGCCTTAAGTATGAGGAAGAAAATACTATAACTTTAACTCCTCCGGACTGGTATTATTTAAAAGGGGATGAGCCCGAATTTGGCGTGGATAAATATGACGGCGTTATCTCCGTCGAACTAGACGCAGGAACTAGATCCAGGAAAAGTGTAACATTTAGTTTGACATAAAATTGATACAATTTTATTAACAGTATACAATGATTTCAATAAAAATCAGAAGTTAAATCAAACAATAATATAATGTTCAGTTATTAGTTTATAGAATGGGAGGTATGTGTTAAAACTCCAGAGTCCATATGCCTCAAAGGCCTCCAATAATTGATTCTGATCCTTCCCCTTGATCTTGAACTCCAATTGTCACTCTTTGTTCTCGGCTACTATGATTCACGGCTCATATTTCAAGATACGTGACTCCTAAATATGAGGCTCTTATTCCTCCTCCCGGTTTATGGGTTAAAACTGCTCCTCCTTCCCCTAATCTTTGAGAGGGAACTCCTTTTTCAAATATAATGACTTTAAATGTTGACTCCCAATTAATGATTCAGAAATAGAGGATATCCTATGATTTATGAGTGATATGATTTTTATCCACGAATGGATATGGTATCTGCACGAGCGAGCGTAGCGAGAGAGTGCAGATATCAATATCCATGAGTGGATTAAAATCATATCACGAGTAAATCATAGGATGTTCTTTTTATTCCATAGTTAAAGTCATCATCAGAATCTTCGGAAATTAAGTTATTTAATTCGAATTTCCAAACGATCCGGCGATGTTGACACTTAGCCTCGTTTTGAGTCTGAAGTAGCAAAAATCCATAAACCATCGCATACGACGTCGTATGTCATGGCTAAAAAACCGTATGTTATGGTTAAGCGAAAATTTGTCAAAAATATCATATTTTACCACTGATTACAAAAATACCGTTTTTATTTTCACATGTTATCCTATGAATATCATGCTAACTATGGAATAACTTCTTTTTTTTCATGTTATCGATTTATTTCAAATAATAACATATATGTACAAAGTTAGCTGATTGCCAAAGTTTTGCAACATTAGCGGCAATTAAATAATATAACATAAATGAAATAATAGATATAATATAAAATACAAAAGGTTTACATATATTCTTAATTCCAAATCACTGAATCAAGCCGGGAAATCCCATGGGCGGGGATGATGACAAAAAGGAAAGAGCAGAAAAATGAAGAAACGGAACCTGTTGTCACAGACGTGATATGATAGTGAAACTCGTGTATATATAATAACTAACAATATAAATTAATTCTTCATTTGTTGATGCATCTAAATCATCTTTTCCAAAAAGTAAAATTTGTAATTTATCATTCAAATTGTAGCTGTTAAACAGGTTTCCTAAATTGTAAGTATGAAGGCCTGCAATGAGGTTGATTCTTTCATCATGGAGCAGTGGGCAATTTAAAAGAAAACGCAAGGTAGTCAATGGAACACCACATTTACACAAAGGGTCACTAATGTCATTAAAGTTATGTGCATAAAGGTGTGCTTTAAGTAAAAGGCCACACCTGAGTCTATTAAAAGGTATTTCAATATGTCTGGGTAAGGTCACATTCAATTTAGAAGTTGGAATTAAAGAGACTGGGCTCTTGTGTTCTCTTACTAATCTTTTAAACCTAGAAATAGGTTGACCCATTCTAGTATCTGATGGCAAATTATTCCATAAAGTTATAGATTGGAAGATGGTAGTTTTTTTAAAAGAGAAGCTAAGGCGAGTTGGGAGAACATAATCTCTTTGATGTCTTAAAGGGCGGACCGGTATATGTTCATATTTCCGAAGTAAGTCACAAATAAATGGAGGATTAATGTTATACCTGCATTTAAAAGTAAACATGTTTAAGTGCTCAATTCTTCTGGTAGTTAGCTGTTTCCAGTTTAAAGAGTTTAAAACTTTGATAGTATTGGAACCATGTATAGCCCCAGAAACCAGGCAGGCTGCTCTGTAGTGAAGTCTTTCAAGAGCTTGTAATTTCATGTTAGATGCCTTGTTGTAAATGACATCACAATAGTCAAAATGAGGCATAATGTAAGTATTATATAATATCTCCAAGTGCTGACTATTTAGAATTTTACTCAGCTTTATCATCGGTCTCAAAAGAGAAGTAACTCTTTTTATTATCTGGTCAATGTGATAATTAAAGTTAAGGTGAATGTCAAAATTAAGGCCAAGATGTTTGTGATTCTCACAGCTAGGGATAAAATAAGCACCTAATCTCAAAGGTGGTGGATGAGATAAAATGTTCCTTCTAGAAAAAATCATATCTGCACTTTTTTGAGCTTTGAATTGCATCTTCCAGGTGGCAGCCCAGAGAACAAGCTTGTCTAGATCACTTTGGATTGGCTCGTGAATATTGAAAAACACTTCATTTTTTCGTATGGACAATAAATTGAGGTGTCATCAGCAAAAATGAACGATTTTGAAACAAGCTCATCAGGCAGATCGTTGATATATATTAGAAATAGCAGGGGTCCAAGGACAGACCCCTGTGGTACACCAGCATTGATGACAAAATTATCGGTCTGCATATTCGGCTCATTTTGATTATTCATACTATTGGAAGACCATTTTGAAAATGTACCGTTTACTTTGACTCGAACTCTCCTATTTTCTAATGATTCAGAACTCCTATTCAAATCGTGACTCTTTATGTTGATTCCTGATAAATGATTCAGAACTCCCTATATGTGATGTGCGTCTCCTTTCTTGCTCCAACATCATGCTTCTCCTTCTGTGATTCCAAGACAGGTGTAAAAAGGTAGAAGGTCCTATCAAATTATGATCCCACTTTTCATTGATTTATATGGTGACCTCTTTCCCTTATTATGGGTACCATAATCCCTGGGGGACCATAATTTCTTTCACACCGGTATGAAATCAACAGAAAATGTGGAACATTATTACTGTAGTTCCTGAAACACTTCAAAACAGCAAACTCAACAGCTCAATTTGCACGTCAAAAGTAATGTTTAAAAGTTATGCTATATTATTCATGAACTGTGCAATTTTACAACCAGTTATCAAAATTGAATGGAGACTTTATGCTAAACAAATGAGATGGATGAAATATACCATTACATCAGCGATTTCAAGTTCATTAAATAACAATCTGATAAATGCAGTAATTTATACAGAACTCAAATGCTTGCTATGACAATTCCATTATGAACATCAATCACATACCCGGTCCGTCTCCGTAACAAAATGTCGGAACGTCGAGAGTACGATTTTTCTTTTTTCCTTATTTCACGCGTTGTAATCACACAAACGTGTATCAGTATCATATGGTTTAGAAAATGTACATGTTTGCGAAAAATAGCTCAGGAGACAACAGAATCGTCGATTCTGTTGTCTTCTGAATTATTTGTTCGCAAATAAATAAATGGATACATACAGTACTTACTTACAGTAAGGCCCCCATATAAAGTTTAAACCACTTTGACTGTAGTCTTACGCAATGTCATCAAAGTGTGATATGTGAAAAAAATTTAATTTCAAAAATGGTTTTTGAAAGACCTTTTGTTCGAAAAATCGTGAATTTAGTTAAAGCAGTCACACATATTCTTTTATAAGCGATGTTTCGCACCAATGCATACATTGCAGCATTCGTCCTCATGTGTTTTTTGCCGGAAAATTAAGAAAACTGGTTCTTGTTTAAGCGAGAAATAAACTCATCAAAACTGGTGTTAAAAGATATGTGTTGCTTTGCAGTATAGTGAAATATTTGATGGTTATAAAATGTTAACTTTTATTTGAAAATGGCGGCAAATATGAACATTTGAGAAATAAAAAGCTAACAACTTTTTTGAAAAATTTGTTTTCAAGAATCTCTAAAATAATTTTTACAATCGTGACAAATAGTATTAAATAAATGAATGATTAAACATATTTTCAAACTAAACATGGGGAATTAAAATTATTTAGTCCACCTTAATTTTAACTTGGAAGCTTTCGTTTGTAAGTGGATATATTAGCTTTGCGTTTACCAATTATCTTAAAAAGGACGTGCTCTAGGTATTTTTCTATTAAAAAGTCGGAAATACATCCAACAACCATTGGGTATGTTTTTTAATGTAATGTTTCTTTTGAGAGATTCTATGATCCACTTGTAAAATCATGTCCTTGTGAAGATTTTTAAATGAATTTTTATGACATTCATTATTATCCTATCATCTTCAGTATTATTTTTATAATAAGAATTAATTGATTAATTCAAATTTTAGTGACAAATACGGAATTCAAATCGCCCGAGGGCATTTTAGGAAAAAATGTACATTTAAACAATCAATATTGATACATGAAATAAACAATAATAGTAAACTAGGAAACAAGGGGGAGGTCCTCACCAGTTATATACCGATTTTTATTTTCATCCCGATTTTCTTCAAAATCCCGATTAAAAAAACGGTTTTTTACTTGACAGGTATAGAGGTTTACAGAATCAATCAACATGAAAACGTTTAGTGCAGTAGAATAAGTCTTTATTGACAAATCAAACTCAGATACAGATCAACAAAGTGTCACGGCTCATTTGCCTGTATTTGTGATGACTAGGCTACTTGTCACAGCCAGTGACATCAAATCTCATCGCTGGATACCGATACCAGGATCTCGGGTTGATACGTACATATCTAGCTTCGATAGGTACTTTGAACACGTAACGTACTTTTGAGTTTCGGTCCGTGTTTCCTTTAAAATCCTGAAAAACACTTCATATTATGAGAATTACCTTAATTTTTCTAATTGTATATTTTTTGTATACTTAAGTACATAACCTATTATTTATATAGTTTATAAGAAATGAATGGCAAAATATCAGAAAATTCAAAATGGTATCAATAATCGAGGAAGGAAAATTATACGTGACCTTCAGATTTTTAAATTAAACAAATCAAGGACCCTTCCACAGTTAACTTGTCTGTTTTAATGATAAATGATACAAATAGGTGTTTCTCAAAACCCTGCCCTATTTCGGTTAATCATAGAAACTATGATACATTGCCTAGATTACTGATGTCATTGATTGTATCTTTTCAAAATTAGCAGTAAGTTATATCAAATATGTCCATAGTTTGGTAATATTAATTCCGTTTATTAGTGTTCATTGTCACAGACTGTATTACATTTTTAATTTCATTTTAAAATAAAAACAATGTAATACAGTCTGTGACAATGAACACTAATAAACAGTAGCTATTTGACAGAGTGCTGCCTACAACCCATGCCATCATCATCGATCTAGCCAACACGTATATCCTAGCTTCTTTGATATACCGAAATGCGGACAAGTCTATTGATTTCAATTCTGACCTGATTTCACATTTATTCGCCCATTCGCGATTTATAACAAATATGCAAACCAAAATTACAAACCAAAATTACATTCTTCATTCTGAGTCTAATTCTTGTTACTATTATAATTTCATGAAACATATGGAACTTATGAAAACACAATGTCGAGGAGTTTCCTTTATTAATGTGATGTGATTATTATGCATATGCTTGATCAATCTTACCAATCCAGGTGGGTTGCCATGCATCACATGTTTGAAGTTCAATCCATCTGTGCTGTACAATACGCGGAATAGAGTAACCCAATAGTCTTCACCATTTCTCCCCTGTATTATCACACCAGTCACTTTCATCACACGACCCAAGTCAGCCTGAATCCACTGTTTGGTATTGTGTTGATGTTGATCAGGCATCCAGCATCCCCTTCCTCTATCCTCCCTGTAGATTAAACATATCAAATACAGTTCAAAGCAAATAATGCTTTGAAATTTAAAAGTTACCAAATCGTCTTCAGGAATATAAATAAGATACTATAGTATATTAAGATAGTAGCAACAATTGAACTGATGGAAAAAACGAAAATGATAAAATCAAAAAATACTGAATGAGCAGGAAAGGATCACAAAATCCTCATCATCATACCCCAAATCCGGCGTGTCTAGTCTGCCTCGATTTGCTGAATGGACAGAATTCCAGACACTCGATGCAGTCAGCCGAAAGGTTGGGACATCAGGCAATAATCTTTTCTCCTTTCCTCCGCACCCACCTTTAAAACAGATTTTCAGAATGAACATCTCAATAATCTCTACTTGTTTTAGTCTCATTTTATTCGTTGAGAATTTTGTATTTGCATTTTACTATACAAAGTGTACCAAAAACAGTAGGAACGAGGGGTCCCCATGCACCCCAAATATATCAAAAATATGTACATTACCATACAGGTCCATACTAACGATATTTGCATGTTCCCAGAATGAAATATGGTTCCATGGTATCCATTGGTGGCCATCTTGTCGGCTATCTTGGGGGTGCATGGGGACCATTCATACTAGACTAATATTTGCATACATACTGACGTTTTCAATTTTGATAGTGACATGTTTTCGTTAATGGGAAATCACTTTGCTAATTTTCGTTGACGTTTGGTGTCTTATGCTTTTTTTGCACTTATCTTTTAAACTATAGTACTGACACTGTCTTTATTATTTGCATCATGCATTCAATATTTTCTTTTTTTTATTAAAATCAATGTAACATATTTACAGGTTGTAGTGGCTATGACCCCAAGTGGGAGTATTAGGTGCCACATAATGGTATTTACAATGATTTGTGAAATATCATAAGAAGTGAACATGTCATTGTGTAAAGTATGATATTGTACATAATTGAGAAAATAAACTGATTTAATGGAAATGATTAAAGGTCTCTTCTACAATATCAGGTGCAAGCAATATAAATATGATAATACAATTGGTCTTTTAAGAGGAAATTAAGTATTCTCACCTATTACTTGAGGTTTCGTTGAAGCTGAAAACAAAACAAAAATGTTGAGATTGATTCAAACTCCTCATATTAAAACAGTTGATTGAAACGTGCTGTTTTAGCCAAAAGGAGTTTTTCTGTTCATTATTTTAAATGTTCCTTATGAGAACCAAATAATGCAACTATGGATTTTTTTCAATAACTTCAGATCTTTTCAAATGTAGGCCGTGCTTGTTAAAAAATCGTAATACAGTCCAACTATCGACATTTTTGCATCAATTTTCTTAATACTTTTTCAGAATGATCATTTAGTTTCTAAATGTTCATTAGGTTTCTAAATGATCATTTAGTTTCTAAATGATCATAAGTTTTTTTTACATCAGTATAGTATCATTTGTTCTTTTAGTCCATTCGTTGCAGATAATTGGCATTCTACTATACATGGTGTCCCTAAAACCTGTTTTCATTTTCTTCGACGTGTGTTGCCATACTTCGGGGTGTTTGTCTGTTCATGCTTTTATACTAACGTTGATCATATTGACAGTAAAATGTTTATAGGAAATCACTTAGTTATTTTTCTTTGACGTTTGTTGCGATGTATGATGGTCTTCACCTTTTTGCACTCATGTTCTTATATTTACTCTGCTTTTAGATCTTATCTTTTAAGTGGAAATTATCGTAACAATAGAGAATTTTCGTTATAAGTTTTTTAAAAACTTATACGTATACTTGTACTTATAAACCCAATAAACAAGGTGTTTCATAATATATCTCCTAGGACGGTAATAAAAAGGGCCAATGGCATACCATCCGTACCCCCTTGATGTAAAGCATGTTTAGTTGTGTCATATGTGTTTTCTAGAATCAAATAGGCTGATATAGCACACGGGTTTTACAGATTTATCTACTCTCAAATATATTTTTTGTAGATGATCGTTTTGAATTACCTTGTAGAAATAACGAAGGGAGAATTAGTTCAGCTAATGAATGAGTCGAGCTGTTTGATTGGATACTATGCCTATTCAGCCGATTAATTTTAATAAGCCATTCTGGTCAGTAGGTCCACACATATACTATGCGGAGATCAAACTCTGTAAGTTTATAATCTGCGTGTAAAGGCCCTTTTATACGTAAAAACTTAAATATTGACCTTATAATTTCATGAGGCCTTTAAATGATCGACTCGTTCGTGTAGTGATTCACTTTAAAGGGTCTTGTTTATCTTACACTACAAGGACCCGTCAACTAGCGTTTAGTTTATCGTGTTCATAATTGACACTAGCAAAGGACATTGTATTCGCAGTCCCTAGTTGATGATGGAGCTTGACTATATCGGGAATAGTTATGCCCCACTTGGTACAGATTATGAAAATCAATTTGAATTGATTTTAGTTCGACAAGACCCTTTAAACTATAAGTATACGTATAAGTTTTTGAAACAACTTATAACGAAAATTCTCTAATTCTTACTTTTCTCTTCAGTTTTCCCCGAGGCTGAAAATAAAAAGTTAAGATTGATTCAAATTTGACATCAGATGTTTACATTGGATTAAAACATGCTACGTTTTTACCATAAGTACATTATTTTAAACTTTTCAACACAAGGATACATACTTTGGTAAGGCCTAACCCTTGCACAGTATAATGTTTTTGGAAAACATGTTCGTAGTGTTTGTCTTCGATAACTCTAATATCATATCATATCATATCATAGCCTAGCATATTATATCTTATTGTATTATACTATATTTTATTATACCAATCATATCATATTACATTGAAATGAGTCTCACCGGGATAAACAAGTAAAGAACAATAACTAGAATGACAAGTACCAAAAACCTCGGCCTGCTGATAAATTTATCAATAACCAATGATTATTTCGGCGGCTGATACCTTACCTGGAAATTTGCAAACTTTTTCAACTTGTTTGGAACCTTCTGGGCATTTCTCTACACATTGTTTACTGTCACCTACGAAATATACCGTTAAGGTACGACAGGCCCTGCATGCCGTATCACTTTCTCTCCTGAAGCAACCTAACAACATGAAAAGGTATGATTAACCTCTAAACTTCATTTGAAGACCTACCCAGTAGGTTCCTTTTTGGCCCTGATATTATGATTTCCCAATGATTATACTGATACAACATCAAAACCAATGACCTTGGTGGCGTATGTGACTGATAAACACATACATTTATTAGTGTTAATTGTCACAGACTTTATTACAATTTTTTGATGCATCCATGATCACGCCTAACCATCGACAACGTACAGTGACAAGATATACCGTCGTACACGTTAGGTATACGGTGTCACTATTACTGATTTGATTTGATAATGCTCCATCAAACAGTCCCAGAGATAGAAGTTCGACGATGACGATACCAGAACAATCTCAGAGAATCAGGTCAATTATCGTCAAATGATCTAGGGGTTCTACCTAACAGAGCTACGCATGCGCAGGAAAGCTCAAATGATATCTAAATGAGAATACGGTGGTTTAAAAAATGATTGTGCCCGTCCTCGTGCATTAAGGGCCACGCGGGAATTCCTACAAACACAGTTTCTGGACCTTTTTCTCTAGAGTTATTTGAAGAACAATGTTTAAGCATATCTACAGCAAAGAGATCTAGAACAACTCCAAGCAAACATCTGAATAGAAATGAAGTAGATTCTTCCGGAATCAGTATCACATGTAATGAACATATGTAATCTGAAAACTATGTCTTAAGGAGAAAACTAACACGCTTTGGCCACATGACCATGCAAAAATGTCTGAAAATATTGATTGGTTTATCTTCGCTGTTGATGCACTTTTGGGTACATTTATTTGGGAAACCTTGTATTCTATAAAATACAAATTTTGATTTGAGGCTAAGCTAACAAATTTGTGTTTTCATGCATATTGATACTTTTGGAAGAAATCTTATAAGCTAGTACTCTCATACCGTTAATGCACTGTCGACCAAAATTGTCAATACACCCATAATGTTAACGCACTGCAGATCGCATTGAAAGCAATCTTCAATACAAGTCACCCATACCGTTAATGCACTGCGGATAGCATTGAAAGCAATCTTCAATACAAGTCACACATACCGTTAATGCACTGTGAATGGCATTGAAAGCAATCTTCAATACAAGTCACACATCGAGGGTTTCAAGCAAAAAAGTACTAAGTGCTCTTTTGTTACTTTTGAGAAAATCGAGTTTAAAGTTTGAAATACCTGTGTTAAATCAGCAAATTGTTAAATAGTTTTGATGTTTACCCAAAGTATAGGTACAAATACTATCCTTGAGATGTACTAATGCAATATTCTTGGAGATTATTATTTTAATAGATATTAACAAATTAGTAATTGGTATTTTTTTGCACGTGCAACAATTTTTCATTTTCCAGTGCAATAAAATACTTATTACAATATAGTACTTTTTTGCAGGAACTGAATTACGAATTGTCAACACTATTATCAAACAAAAAGTACTATTTGAATATCATATCAAGACTAAATGCTTTATTTATATGTTTTGTTACAAATAAATGCCAATTTAAACATAAGTCATCATAAGTTTAGATCGACAATGCCCTAATATAATGTTTTAGCACCAGTGTTATCAAAATCGCTTGGTGAATGTCAATTGTATTTTGATGCACATATTTGTTTTGACCTCCACTTCAGAGCCTGGAAATCTAGAAATGAGAATGCATTGAATTTATGTTCTATAATTGGCAAACTGTAAAATTATAGCATTTTACAAGGCGTTCACCATTAAAAAACAATACAGGTAGAAATTGAGACTGGAAATGAGTCATTAAAGTAACCCAATTGACATTAACAAATACTTACCCTAAAATACAAGCTAAGAGTTAATAGTCCCTGATCTGATTTTTCAAAGAGCCTTAGATAACGAGTTTGTTGTTGGCCTACATAGTACATTTTCCGGTAACAGGGGCTTCACTTAGAAAATGAGGATTGACTTTACATGGGGACACTGCACTCTTCACTAAAATTATTGGATTAGCTAACATTTTTGTCACCCTGGAGCTTTTATACATGTCACATTTTTCTAGCATTAGACAGTGTTTTTTATTACTTGAAATGCATTGACACATAGCGCCATGCAGATTTTTAAACTATTGCAGACGTTTGTCCTTTTGGAACCATCTTTTCGACATTTTCGCAATTCCATATTCTCTTGTTGATCATATCCTACTTAAAATGCAGTTATGTGACAAAAATTAAAAAAATGTACAAAAACTTGTTTTTAGAAGGCAACCTCTTGTGGCCTCATTTTAGAGGCAAAAGCCCCTGTTACAGTCAAACAGAATATATTTTCTTAATAAGGGAAGTCAGTACTTTAAACCGATTTGTTCTTTTCTTGTGGCAGAGTACCGGACAATGACACTTCATTTTTTCGGAGCAGCTCAGGGAGTATATCTGTCTTCATCAGTGTCATACTCTGTCTCCTAGGCATCAGGAGCAGGGAGTCTCTCTCTTGTAATTGCCCCGCACTCCGATTCTCTGGTTAAAATCATGGTAGTCTATGGGAATAATCCTACTTTGGACATTGATAGGAGGTTGAATTTCTTTTCATAGCTTTTCAGTATATAATGTAAGTAGGGAACAGTAATACAGCACTTGCCCCTTTCATTTGCCTACCTCTTCTTGATGTAGTGAGTTTTATCCCATTTAAAGTGGTCTCATCAAAGTGAGATTTAAACAAAAGTGGCTCCAGCTGTTCCTCAGAGTACCCAAGCCACTAAATATCCCTCCAAATTTCTCTCCGTCGTTTCCTTCTTCGTACTATAAGTATATGTTGAGCCATTTGAAATTAAGGAAATGGTGTATGTATTTCCTTTTCCTTGCAACATGGACAACTTTTTCCTCGTTTATGGGAGCATAGACACATGTTTCCATTTTTGCTAGATTGAGGTCATCAGGAGATATGTTAGCGACGATACCTGCAGCCTAGAAGGAGTCTCCATCCCCAGGAACTCGATCTGCTACTTGTTCATTACTTTGTAAGAGGGCTCATGCTTTAGTGAATCAGCCCTGCTTATATTTATTGCTCTTTTGAAAGATTCATTATTTGAACGATGATGATGACGCTTCTGAATAACATAGCCATCAGTACTACTTCTTAATATTCTTTGGGTTTTCTTTCTTTAGTTGGACAACCTCTTCTTCACCCGATGATTTATCGATAGATGTTTTCGATGAGTCTGAAGAAGTTATCATTGCATGATTCATAATCTACGTCAGCATCAGAATCATCTTTGTTTTAATCTTGGATAAGGGCAGCAAGAGGTTCATTATCTGAATCGTTGAAGCAATTTGTATGTTTCAAGAGAGATTCATCATTGGATATATGGATATATTCAACTGGCTTTTGGGTTGGTTTACTTCTAGTCTTATACATTGGTGTTGATGAGTTTTGCAGACGTGTTATAATTTGATCCAGGATGGTGGTTGAAGGGCTTTCTCGAGTGAGGATGGAGGTTGGTGTGATACCTTGCTATGGGATTGCAATGGGTGCCCTGTCTTGTTCAAGGATGGGGCTCGAGGTGTTGTCTTGATGTAGAATGGGAGTTGTAGTACTGCCTTGATCTTGGATGGATTGAGGTTAAATCCATGTTATTCCCAAGATGGATGCTAAGCTGCTTTCATCTATGATGGGGGCTGTGCTTGATCTAGGACAGGTGCTGAAGTTTTACCTTTGTGTAGGATGGGCGTTAAAGTGTTGTTACTTTCCAAAAAGGGAGCTGGGTTATCTTGTTCTAAGATTTGAGTCAGGCTTAGTTTGAATAAGGTTGTGTGTTTTAGTGTTGTCTTGTGCTATAATCTTCGTGGAAATCATGTCCTGTGTCCGTATATGTATTGGTGCCAGAACTTCATTGTCAATTTCAATGTCTTAAATAACTTCCAAGCCAGCCATAACTTTGCTTAACAGAAATGTAAATAAGGTCACATAGACTCTCATCAAGGCTAGACAATATTTCACAGATGAGTCATATCCATTGAAATTTACAATATTTTGACTTTTTTTATGTATTGATTTTGGTGCATGCAAAAAAGTACTATATTATTTTCCATTCCGGGTCCAGACACACAACCCATTATGCATCTATGTCATTTGAATTGAGTATTTACCATCTATATATTAGTACTAGTGTGTGTGTTATTTAAAACATACAAAACATATAAATCCCCTCTTTTTTACCATGAAATATAAAAGAGATCTTATTCCATGTAAAAAAGTACCTTCTACTTTTTACACATAACAATACAATAGTTTATAATATTTTGTTGTCTTTTGTTACAGGTGTATTTATAATTTATTAAATATCAAATTATCAAGTTATCAAAAGTCAATATTGATGACTAACATTCAATAAATATCCATAAATGTCTTGCATCCAAGATGCAATCCTACTTATTAGTAGGATTGCATTCCGAGAGTACATGTATCATCAAGCATTGAAAAGTGAAACCAAATCCTATCGTTTCTGGTTATATTACTTTTAATTAAAACTGATGACATACACTCACTAGGATCACTCATTTACTTTAAAAAGAGCTAAATGTACTTATCTATTTAATGAATGTGGGAGTGCAAAAACGTAACAAAATGATTATAGTATTTTTTTGCCCTCTCAAATTTCATTTGATATCTTTTTGCAGGGAGTTTTTTGTTCAAAATCACTTAGTACTATATGTTTCTGGTTGTTATCTTGAGTTATATAATACATCTGATTTAGTCAACTAGATGAAATGAAAGCCATATTATCACACTATATCTGGGTATAAATAACTCTATTTTGATAAAAAATGCACTTAGTACTTTTTTGCTTGAAACCCTCGACATACCATTAATGCACTGCGGATAGCATTGAAAACAATCTTCAATACAAGTCACACATACCGTTAATGCATTGTGGATGGCATTGAAAGCAATCTTTCACTTTTGGGTTTGTTCCCGCATCATTTCCACACTCCACACGTCCCATTGATGATTTTGGTAAGATGGATATTTGCACCAGTTGTACATCACGCATTCCACTCCCAAAAGCATAAAACTCGGGTAGTATAGGGCTGCTCGTATCTTTGTAATCCAAATAAACTGTCATCTTATCCTACATACGTATATGTTAAAACGGTATTTCAACAAATATATTGTTCAATATACAATCGTGGCTACTTTAATTTTTTCATAACTATTACATATGATTCATTTCACGAACAACAATTAACACATTTATACCAGAAAAGCTCCTTGAAAACGGCGTATGGTAAATTTATAAAACATTGCCTACTAACCTCATTTCCTTTGACTTTTCCGTATTGTATATGTAGGGTGTCCTTTGATTTTGTGAGGCAAACTGCATATGTTTGGAAAAGATTAGAATTGCCCAGTCCCCATGCAGAAATGATGGTCGTTTCCATTTGCTGAACTTTGTTTGCCTTGAAAGTAAAAGTGACAAAATGAATTCTTTTGACAAGGTGTGTAAGACATTAGAGAGATTTCGCTCATTAATGAAAGCTCAAAACATGTTTATGTGTTTAGCCATACGTTTTAAGTATTAGTAAATTTAAATTTTGCATTTCACAAAAAGATTTAATTACTATAATCGATCAATTCTAATGTCCTTTTCAGTGATTGGGATTGGTTAGAAATATGATAACACGATTGCCTACCAGTAACCATATTTAAACGAGATATGGATTTATTCACTTACAAAACAACGTTTTGAAGCGATGGTTTCTCTAAATGGATAGAACAGAATGATGTCGACGTAGTACACACAAATTATATGTTATGAATATAAGAGATACATGAACAAGCTATAAGTGCATTTTGAAATCTTTCTAGAAAAAATACCCCAGACTAGCCTACTTGATAGAATTTTTTCAGTAAGTTCAGGATAAATTGAGTAGAACTCAGACTACACAATGATTTTTTATCAGAAAGTTCAGGATGGATTGATTAGAACTCAGACTTCTTGATGGCCTTCTATTATTAATAGTTTTTCCAGGATATAATTACATGTAATGTGAATGACTGACGGCCGATAGCTGGAGCCTGCCCTTCTTATGTCGTGTACCTGTAAAGTAAGGTTGAATATGGACATTCAACTTCTCTCATTCATATTCACTTAAACAACAAAAATGAACATACTTTGTAAACTCCTGCCGAATCAGTTGATATCTGCACAGTGTACCAAGTGTCTTTATTACTGGGGATTAAGGCGAACACAACAAAGATGTCACCAGATGATGCGGCAGTAAACTTGACACAACTCCCTTCTTCTGTAGGTCTAAAGCTGTGAACGTTTGACCATTTTACGTTACAGGGTAATGCCACTTTCAAGGACGTGGTATCTTCTTTGCTAGACCTATATATATACATATATAGAATCATAATCGACCATTTAACGTTACATGTCTGTCTTTCAAGGATTTGGTAATTTCTTTGCTAAACCTATATACGTAGACTATAGAATCACAATTGACTCGGATTAAGGACTAGAATTATTCCAATGCTAAGATTCACTCGCGATATTTCGTTTGTTTTTCTTTGAATGTTAATATTTTATTGACCTTGACTGTACAGCTATTATTTTTTTATTTCTTGATATATGTATATAGTGTGCAAAAAACTAATATACAAATTAAAAATATAATAAAACATTTCACATTATGATTGATTATGAATATATAAGCATCAATGTGTACGAATTTGATGTCATTTATGGAATATGCTTTTATGATTATGTGAGTTAATATTCAAAGGCGAAGTTTAAAGAATCATATAACAATGTGTCATTACTTGTCTTCTTTAGACTTCGGCAATGACTCAACTCGTGCTATGGGTCTACCAACTAATTTCTGCAGTATAGTAATGCCTTCTGCCTTCATTACAGTATAATCATTATTCGTTATCGTGAGCATTCCGTTATTCTCGTCATAAGTCATCAGCAGCCCTTTTACAGATATCTGTAAGTTAAAACACAATGTTATTTTGTATCAATATCAGTAAATTAAGTGACTTCATTTGTATGCGCTACTTGAAGCTTTATATACCTTTTTCATTACTAATAGAGCCTTTTATATGTAGCTTTAAAATCTTGCTGAAATCTCGTTTAATGAGATTTGCATATAGTCTTTTTTTATTTACCAGTTAAATTAAATTTTAGAATATAGAAATTCTCACCCTTTTCAATGTAAAATCAGACGTACTTTTTCCGTTATCAAAGCCATCATACAAATGTAATTCATTCTCATTCCTTTGGGTGTACCACCTTTTACTTTTCAAAGACACTTGAACGATGTCATTGTAGTAGACTATTCCTGGGATGTTACGTTCCATATCGAATATGACTCTAAATGGACTTCCAGATATCAGAGATTTCCAGGTTGAAAAAGACTTCTTATTGAAGGCGGTAACAGAAGTATCACAACCGGGTCGTCCTGCTGGAATCAATTGTTCCGTAGCTGGTATAGGTCCCTATGACAAAATGTAAATGGGTGAACATATGTGCCAAGAAGCCTAAATAGATTCAATTCAAAGACACATTTAGAAGAATAAGATTATAACCCATTACAAATAAAAAAAAAAGTAATCAACCCGTATCGTATGTAGGCGTAGCAATGAAATGTTTGTAAAATCCAACGATTTCAATTTGGTTTCATTTTAAACCCGTATAACTCAAGCGTGTTATAGAAAACAAAGATATAAGCAAACATCTTCAACCTCAAAGCGATATACACAAGTTATGTTTCATCTAAAAAATAAGAAAGGCAAAAAATGATAATTTGCTTAATAGAATTCACAATCATTTAATCTAACTATCTGCATTAATTAATGCAATGCATCAATTATTGTCAATTATATTTGATTCTCATATATTTTAGAAGAGGTATCTAGTATTTTGAAAATGACATTACAGAAATTCAAAATACACGTATTTACATTTGCACAAAAATCGTATGCTAACAAGATGTTTGTGGCTCAGGGTTTAAAAAAGCAATTTCAAAAATGAAAAAAAGAGTTTCTTGAAATGTGAATATTCATTTTCAAAGCACAATTCTTTCAAGTTCTCATTCACTACATGATAAACAGGAAAGTGTTGGATCCCAATGTAAAAACTTCTCCGCTCACCTCCTCCATATAAACTGCGATAGCTCTTTCCAAAGCAAGTCTTCGCTTGTCAAACTGATCTTGAAAATCTTTCTTGCTTGTCCCATACTTGCAATAATTCTTTACTGTTTTAATTTCTTTTCCAACGGTCTTTTTACTTTCAAAGTAGTATTTTCCCGTGACAGAGTCCTTCTTAACACTAAGAATAAACAATCGTTTATTTTGCAAAGATTGTCTTATATTTCGTTTAGAAAAATTTTCAAGTTTCCATATGGTATATATATGGTCACTTTGAAAATAATGTATTTATAGTATATCCTATGAAAATCATTTTTATCTACAAGGTTATATTAACATATGTACGAGAGAGCGAAGTGAACGAATGCATACATGTATATCAATATTACCGAGTAGATTAAGATGATATTCAGAAAAATCATTGGATGTTCTTATTATCCTACACTTACTACCACGATGCCCATGTCAAGCAGCGTACCTACTAGGCACGCAGTTTGAAACTCTGACAAACTGCGCGCATATTTCAGAATGGAAGACGGGGAGGACACGACTCCCAAAAAGAGCCAAAATACGAAAAATAAAGGTTTGTCTCGTTCTGAAGATAGTACCATTCTGTGAAGATGAACTTAATTTACTCATATTACTCAATGTTGTTCCCGATGTAAACCTAGTTATCTCAATATAAGGGTCTTAAGTAACTTCAGTGTTCAAAATTTACAGTGTAGAGTTATATCTATGTCTTTTTATCGTCATTTGTCGTTTATTCAGCCATTGTGTCTGTGAATGCTAGAATATATAGGATCACTCCATCTGATTAAAAGCAGCATAGTTTGTGTCCAAAACGATAATACGCCATAAACGTGATTTAAACATTTTTCTTGTCAAACTGCGCGCCTATATTCACATGTATTTCCCAAACTGCGTGCCTAATATTTCCAAAATGCTTGCCTATCCAAGCTTGTTTTGTATTATTAGAAAACGTAAGCGCCATATGTAAGGCACATATGTGTCTAATAGTAGAACCCCATAATTGAAACACTATGAGAGTCCATCCACCAAGATGGTGATCTGAAAATAAACGTTTTTTCGTTCCCAACTTAATTGTCACTTCTATTATACATTTTGACTTTCAATAAGAAAATCTCATAAAATCTACGATAAAGCAAAAATTCCAAAGCTATATGAAAAACACCTACACGTGCCTCTGCAGAAATTCCAATGATAATATGTAGTTTTAATAGTGTATGCGCACAGTTTGTAATTTCTGGCTAAACTAGGCGCGCAGTCTGGCAGTTTGTGCTTTATTTCTTTTTAATTCTGATTATCTGTTTTATCTCGAAATATTTTGAATTATACATGATAAATGCGTAAGGAATTAAATATAAAACGAGTCTAAAGTATTTGTCATTTATGTTTAAAGTGCTAGATCGATTTACGTATAAATTACCGTTAAATCAATGACGAAAATGCCATTAATCTGCTTATGTTTTAAAACTTAAATTCATTTTCACATACTCTTTGCTAGTATTTACAAGATTCGTATATTTGCCACAGAATGAACGCATTGAACAAGAAAACAATGCAGGATAAATGTCTTTTAATTGCGTTTCAAAATACAGACTCCAACTTAAATGATGCAATGTTGTTAGGCACGCAGTTCGTGATCGAAACAAACTGCGCGCCTAAGTAGGCGCGCAGCTTGACATGGGCACCGTGACTACGTAGCAGTGTACTAAATGACAATGTATAATATCATTGAAAAATAAATTTTATGTCAAATAGTTCAATTTGATGGGAAATCAACAAGCGGAGTATATGTCACAATATCCTTCGCATTTTGGTTTTCTGGAGTATATCGTGGCAATATCCTCCCGTTATTCATTTTCCCAATAGATATCTTTACTTTTTTTATGTTATTATTCAATTAGTACACTAAGTGTAGAATAAAAAATATAGATAGATGGACATCTCATTTATATACTTTTCAACAATATTCTTTTGAGATATGAACTAGATTAATCGTTATTGCAGCTCTTCTGGAATATATTATTCTATTCATAAGTACACTCCCCTCCATAAGTTTGGCAACCTTTTTTCCCCATTGAAGTACGTGTTAAAGCCTCTTTACCTTTGAATTTTTATTTACTGAACCGGCGATGAAATAACTTATAATATTGATGTAAACGTAATTTGACTTTATTTCCAATACCTCCAAATTTTCTCAATTATTTCCTCAATTGCAATAGGTCGAAAATTGATGAATTTTTGAAAATCGTCATTCCCATGTAATCCAATGGGAAATGGAGGGTTCGGGGAAAATCAGAAATCAGGATATATTTTCAGTAAAAGATTCAGCAAAAAATATTTTTATATAGAAAATTGAATTGTCTAACTTTTTTGAACACTAAGTGTTTAGTTTATTTGATGAATATTAAAGTTACAGCGCTTCAAAGTCATTTTTGAAAATTTTTTCGCCTCCTGTGTTATTTCAATGGGAGAGGTTTTTTGAAAAATAATTTTGACTTTAAAGCCCTATAACTTTGTTGAACCTGAAGAAACATATCAATTTTTTGTTAAATAAAGTTAGGAAATTCAATTGCCTGCCTAACTCGTATTTTTGCAAGGACTCGGATAGATGGATATTCTGTAATATGACTTGCGGCAAACCTACCATTTCCCATTGGTTAACATGGGAATGTCGATTTCCAAAAATTCATCAAAATTATCATCAATTTTCGACCTATTGTAATTGAGGAAAAAAATTGAGAAAATTTGGAGGTATTGGAATTTAAGTCAAATACGTTTCCATCAATAGTATAAGTATTTTCATCGCAGGTTAAGTAAATAAAAATTCAAAGGTAAAGAGGCTTTAGCACGTAGTTCAATGGGGGAAAAAGGTTGCCAAACTTATGGAGGGGAGTGTACATTGGTTATCATTGCCATCTCATTTATTACATATTTCCAAGCGCAAAAAGAAAGCTGAAATATACATACTCCCCTCCCAAACATCCTTGGTTTGTATCGTCTGGAAAAAGGGATTCTACGTTCATATCAAACAGCTCTGTAATCTTTCCTAGATTGAAGGAAAATGGCCTGGGGTATTCCGGGATCGACTGTAGCCACGCCTCGAGTTTTGACTTGAATCCAGGATCATACATGTCACTAATTATCGATGCTATTTCTTGATCACCACCCTCAACTGACAGATACGAGTTTGCATAGCTTTGAGCAGTCCTTTAACATAAAAAAGATTTGTTGAATCATATGACATTCTAAGGGTCTTTATATTTCAATTTTCTATGGATTATATATGGGTAAAGTGTTACAAAATTGATTTTGAATAATGAATTAAAGAGTTTTTTTCATACCTTTGTTTATTTGCAGAACTTGCAGAGGAAGAAGCTGTGTTCTTAGTTGCAGCTTGATTCTTATTTTCTTGTTCCTTTGTATTCCTACTGGCCTGGAAACGTGCACCACTAAAAATTCCAAAGCTGGCAGAACCTTGAGATGAACCTATGACAATAATGTAAATGTGTCTTTTACAATTAAACATAATGTAACATAATTATATTTAAATAACTTTCCCAATTTGAATTGATTTGGCTTTAAAAAAGCATACCAAGAGATGTGACATATCACGTTTAAGAAATTATGTATTGAAGAAAAATAAAAGTGTGCCTTTCAGCTGAGAGAGAAGAAAAATTTCCCAACATTATAAAGCAGACAGACAGATTGTCAAGTGTGCGATAACGATAGCTGACCAAGGCGAGCTAAAAATAATCGACCTTGAGATATGGGAATGCGCTTGGTTTTTTCGACGTGGCCTTTGGGATGCATGTGCATCCCCTGAATACGACCCAGTTGTGAACAAGCATTCATTGTATCTGAAATTACTTATACACGTCATTTAAATTCTTACTTGATTGAGCTGCAAAGGAGTTACTCAGTAGAGATTGCATATCAGAATACGCAGCTGTGGCAAATTGCTCTTCGGTCTCTTTCTCAGACATTACTTTCGTCCTGGAGAGTTTTAAACTTCCTCCAAACTTTGCTGATTTTATAAAGTGTGTTCCCCATCTCAGCAAAAAGTTCTCTAAAATTCAAAAATATTTGACATGTTAATTATATGTCATAAAGATCCTTTAACCGAGTGGATGGTGTTTGGTTTACTGTTTTCGGAGGATGCATGACACAGAGATCTTAGAATTCCAAGACTAATGTATTACTTGTAAGTGTTCATGTCAAACTAAGAGAATGAGGGTGTATTTTCGTGTGACCGCGGTGCAAGTGAAATAAGGTTGCGTAATATTCAATTGTTTTACACAGCAGTATTATAAACATACCACTGTGGTATAACTACAATCAAGCTTATTTTTAGGATTGGAAAAATGCAGCCTGAATAAATTCCCTTGACCCTATATCGATTAATATGTATAGCACACATTTTACTACTGATTGGATACACTTACGATATTTCATAACAGCGGAAGAAGATTTATAATATGACGTAGGCAGATTCAAGTAGTCCTTCAAAAGTGCCTGACTTAGATCACCAGGTGTCACTTCATCCATGAATATCTCAAACCTAAAAATATATAAGGGTTGTGTACTGGGAGGTTTTGGATACGGGGTTTATCCAGAGGGAGATATGCATATCTACCTGAGGGACCGTAGGGACAGAAGGTAGATGTGTATATCTCACGAGGGATGAACCCAATATCCAAACCGATCTTACATAACTGCTTTATCCTATACCAAGTAGAGTTTTCTAATTTTCTTTCAATTTTTTTTCAATTATTTTTTATTTTTTCACATTTTCTATTTTTTTTTCAATTTTTCAATTTTTTCTATTTTTTTCTTTTTTAAATTTTTTATTTTTTCACATTTTTCACATTTTTTCTTTTTTTCAATTTTTTCTTATTTTTTCAAATTTTTTTTCGAAGCGGGAAGATATGCCCTGGAGCGGGAGATAAGGCGCGAGATACTGAGGTTCAGGATATGGAAACCTAAAAATCAGGATACGGGATATATCTTACCAACTTATCTCCCTAAAACTCTACTTAGCATAGGATAAGTAGATTTATTAAACCATGGGGAAAAACGCATAATCAAATCCAAGAAAATATCTAATGCCAAATTTAGTCTCTCTCCTCCCCCAGGGGGATACTTATTCCTTTATAATGTCTCTGATTTACGTGCATCTTATATTATTACTTATTGGCTGTATTTTGAACTGCCTGCGTTGCTCGTGCTGCACTTAATGGAATAATTAAAGTGATTAAAATGAAAGTATAATGATATAATCTGAGCCAACAAATATTTTAGAGAAATGATTCAAGAACTAACCGAACAATATTCATTTCTAGGTATGACATAAACACTCTAGAAGACCCTGTTCTTTGTGATCCCCCCGCGCTCGACCCACCACTTGAATCTTGAGAATTTGCCGAGTTTATACTGCTGCTCCCTGAACTCTTAGCCCCTCCATAAACGGACGCTGAAAAAAAGCCTAATCCAGCCCCTCCATGAACCGAGGTGCCATAATTTCTGTTTATCGCTTCCTGAAATGATCCTTTGTACGAAGATGTGGATGTACTCTCTTCTAGAAAGTGGCGGAAACTATCTTGTGACGTAAACACACGACTGTTAACGTCAGTGTCGTATATACCAACAGCATTCATTGTGTCAGGTATATCGCTGTTCATGAAGCTATAATATATGTAAGATATATAATATGTATATAACTCCGAAATTGATTGTGTACATGTAAGTACTAGTGTTCCTGTCCACAAAACATGTGTTAGTGGTTCTATACATAAGATATATGCATTAGTATCGTTTGAAACATCAACAGATTATTAAAAAAGTAAAAATGTACCGAACATCTATTGCATATGCATAAACTATCGGAACACTGGATGAATCTGATCATGTTATTTAAAACGTATTTAAAATACTGTATAGAAAATGTATTGAACAAATGCAAGTAATCGTGCTATTATTTGTGTATTAAGTATTTCGGTACCAACCTGCCCTTATTTTTGCATTGTCTTTGTACAAGTGACTTCTTCCGGAATTCCTGCGTCACATCACCACGTCCATCAAAACCAACTCCAATAAAAGCAGCGGCATCCAGCATGTTCTAGAAATCAATGGAACAATTATGCCATCTATTGGTACTGATGTCATCCCGACAACTCGAGTCAGAAATAGGTTATGAAATCGTTTTTTATTTATTGTTATTATGAAGCTATTTACAATTTTGCTAAAGATTTCAAGTTGAACACCTTTATATGTGGCAAATACTTTCCGAGACTTTTGAGCCACTGATTGAATGTTATATGAACCATATAAGGAACATACACCTTCCAATTTGAAGTTTGAAGTACCAAGGGTATTTAACTAACACAAATGGTACTGTATTCCACTTACCAAACACAATGTTGACATTCGTTTAAATGCGTAGCAGGGGTCTCCAGGCGCGTAATTTCTTAGGAAACATCCGTTTACAAGGGCAGGACCAATACCATGTGAATACGTGTAAGCATCACCAGGGTTACTATCTTGACCTCGTCTGGAATTTTTTACAAATCATTATCTGTTTTTTTAAACAGTAACTTGTTTTTCATAAATTTGGCTTAAGGTGTCACTCCTATGAATCATTGAAAAATATTGAAAACATCACAAAATCCAAGTTCTACATATCGCCATTTTCGAACGAACTAGCCCATACAATGACTATATTTCCCCTATACATAACCTTCATCTTGACATTATATTTCACATAGGGTTTGCGTTTCGATTTTTATATATCACTACGCCAACATAGGGACTCATTTTCAGGTAAAATTCCTGCTTCATCGATGAAAATTAACGAATAAAGTAGTTCCAGTTTACGGGACTATATTCTTGCGATTTTTTTCTTAAAATGGCACATTTAGACAGTACTTTGCCTCAGCTTTACATACATACCTCGAATGGCCACATTGCATACACTTAAATCTACTATACACACCATTGAAGTTGGCATGGCTTCGTTTTTAAAGTCCGGAAGTAGTATTTACCGGAGTGACACCTTAACTTGCAGTATGTATATACTCAATTAGTACTCAAATGTATATTTTGAATACATATTCTGTTTGTACAAAGCTACAATATAAATATAAATACAAAACAACTTTTTACTTGAAAATTGTTGATTTGATTAAATTAATCGTGAAATATATATATTTTTACTTGTCACTGTTATCGCTGTCGAAATTTGTCATAATTTTGACGCCAGGTGGTGCATATCCGGTCTCATCCATGTAGCCTTTGCCCGGGATAATCTTAATCTCCGCCTTAAATGACATGCAAATGTAAAAACACCTTAGATTTTTTTATTAGTTCAGTATTTACACTTGTTTCAATTTAGCATTTTTAAAACTTGAACAAGTTAAATCTTCGCCAAAATAAAAATTTATATAAGTAATTAATGACGAATACAAAATGTATGTTATTGTAATATTTATTCCATTGTTCAGTTGATATATGTTATTTGAAAACAATTGAAGTGATATTTTCACAGGCCTTGTAAGAACATAATGATGTTAAATTAACAATTTAAAGTTTGCGCTAGAGAGGACTACGGGTATCTTATTAAATTCATAAAAATGACTTATGAGCCATTCAAAAGGTTTACAATAAAAACAAAATTTCTCGGTGCTTCTTTCAATGTCAAATGTTGATGTCCTGCTTAATATATATAAATAAATTATACTAAGCATATACAATCTTTTTTATTAAGTTTTTTTTTTGCAATTACGAAGCTGTAGTGTTCTGGGTACTTGCGCTCTTTGTTAGACAAAACTAAGAGTAACAAAACTAAGAAGGTTTGTTATTGGCTATATAATATAATGACGTAATTTTATTATAATTTACTAAATGTTATATAACAATAGTTTTCGGGTTTACGAAAAAGACCGACCCCACCGACCATCGACCGGTCGGTGTTTTCCACTGGTAGCCTCAAAACAGGGTTTGAAGAAAATGCGTAAAAGACCGACCATATCATGTAAAAGACCGAACATATTTGTAGCCTTAAAATATTAATAATTTGATTTTGAATGTCAATCGTTGGACTAGGCAACGTTTTACCGATTTTGTACCTTGCAACGAATGGCAAGCAAACAAATTGTCGAAATCGTTGTTCCCTCTTCAAAAGTGGAGACGCGAAAATCTTTCCTTATAAGGTCAAAATATTTCCCATGATGCAGTTCGCGGAGGAACAAATTTATACTTCCTTGTTTTCTCTCATAGGTTTAACATGGGGATTTTCACACCTATTTTTCAAACGATATATTCGTTCATATTCCCGTACGAGAGTACAGAAAAAACTATTAGAAACGATTGATCTCTTATTAACCTTAATATAACAGCTATTTTTTTCATTGTATTGATTCATAGCGTGGTGAAAACGGCGATTGAAAAGTGAGAAAATATTCCGGAGGAGAAGGTCCCGTGATCAGTTGACTAGTCGCCATATTGGAAAAAACAATTCCATTCGACTTTCAATACTTTCATGCCAATCTTACCGCACTACAAACTGCAACATCGATGCAACAACTGAATAAAAGTATTAATCTTCAAATTACATTATAGAGTTACGTTGAAAACCCACAAACAACTGAGCAGTAGACCAAAGAAGACGCGTCGCTATTATCTAGGTCAATCTGTTCAGTGGTCCGAAAGCAAATATATAGTACTCGTTTCCGAAATTTGTTGTTCATTGTACAATCTTTTATTGATTAAACTCGGTATACTGACTATTAAAGCTATGGCAAAGAAGAATACTTCCGATGGTGTCATTGTTTTATTTAGCGTGCAGGTGTAAAAACAAAATTGCGTAATTAGTTTGATTTAGAACTTTCGGGTCACGCAAATAGCTACGCGAAATGCATAGTGGGAAAATATTGACCAATCAAATTTTGTCCTTTTTGAGTGCTTTTTTCAGAACATATTTGCGAACGTTCTGATTCAAAGAGCGAATCGCGAAAGGGAGAATTGGGCATGACCATCTCCTCTCGATTAATTGTTTTTAAGGGTATCGCGTGAATGTAACTTTGATTCCCCAGATTATAAGATAACATTCTAATTAAATTTATATATCATTTTAAAGCAGTTTCGATGAATTTTTTAGATCAACCACACTCCGTTCACAATTCTTGCGCGTTCTTTTTTATAAAAGAGTTTAAAAAAACACCTGGCAAATATCCCCTGTTGACACGTTACATTTTGAATTATTTTTCGTCTTTAAACGCTCATAACTCAAACAATATATGACTATTATACTTATTTTTCGTCTTGATAAAGGTAGATAGAAGTTTTATTACAAAGGATGAATTTTAGTAAGCGTCCCATATTGTAACGTCATAGAGTTTGAAAAATAGAATCTGTTGACAGCGACCTTTTTTGCTCATTTTTTGTTACCTTCAACTTTTCAGGTGTACATTAAACAAAAATACGAGATCAATTTTTAATAAATCATACATGATTATTTTGCACTTAAACTCTAGTTTATTATTAAATAGTTGATTTTGTTCGCAAAAGTATGTGTTTTCTGTTGTATGTGGAAAAGTGGAGGACGAAAGGTTTTCAAAATGGTTTCTAGACAACTCATCCCAAGACAACTCATCCCAAGACAAGTCATCCCTAAGACAACTCATCCCAAGACAAGTCATCCCCAAGACAACTCATCCCAAGACATCTCATCCCAAGACAACTCATCCCAAGACATCTCATCCCAAGACAACTCATCCCACTTGTATAATTGATAAATTATTTTGTCCTCTATATTATAGATATCCCTTTAAATATATCAAATATTTTAAAACGAAGACTGAATTAATCTGAGAGAATTATTCTGATAGCACCTTGGATAATACATTCTAACTGAGTTAATCCTGCACCTTTGATGATCTTGATTTGATAATCAAAGTATTAATTTGAACATGTTTATCTTAATCCCAATCAGTCAACAAGAATTAACTAAAACTAGGCTAAATTAACTACAAAATACAAAAATATTAAGCAAATATACAGCATGACAAAATATCAAATGTGTCAGTTTAGAATACAGCATGAAAAATAAACAAAGATATTCCATGACCAGTGTGCTAACTGCTAAAATCTCTAAATATTTTTCATTCTTTCAAAAGTGAAATTAGTTGTATAAAATTATGTTATACATCAAGTTGGAAAGAATTGTCTTGGGGATGAGTTGTCTTGGGATGAGATGTCTTGGGATGAGTTGTCTTGGGATGAGATGTCTTGGGGATGAGTTGTCTTGGGATGAGATGTCTTGGGATGAGTTGTCTTGGGATGAGATGTCTTGGGGATGAGTTGTCTTGGGATGAGTTGTCTTAGGGATGAGTTGTCCTGTTACCTTCAAAATTCATTAAAATAGGGCTAATTTACGCCATTCGCCTATTTTCAAGCACAGCAACAGGTATAATTTTTTCACCTAAAATTTCAATTGATTCGTGTTTTATGATGCTCTTAACCCATTGTTAATATATATACGATATCAGAGTAATTCGCCTTAAATATTTTGAGATACAGAGGTAAATGTGGAGGACGAAAGGATTTCCATATGTGTACATTTCTCTCAAAAAACGTCACATTCTGTGGTGTTAAAAAGCGAAAATGTGTAACAATACGTGCACGAACTTTTTGCGACGTGTCTGTGTTTTTGTTATTGCGTTTCATATGAATGAACTTGATGCAATGTTACGTGCGTTTTTTCCAAAGTAACTAACCAGGATGAAATTGGTCTTCTAACAACTGAAACATCACTTAAAAATATGACATTACACACCAAGACGATGTAACGTTTTCATCGTGATTTGAAATGATTAATTATACGTTTTTAAATCACGACCTAGTAAAGGTACTATAGTCATTGGATTCCCAGTTTTAGTTTACTTCTAATTTTGCATTTTTTCATCTTTATGTAAAAGACCGTCAGCCGACCACCGACCACGTGTACCCAACTGTGGAGAGTGACTGGTCGGTGGTCGGCGGTCGGTGTTTTTCGTAAACCCATAGTTTTCATATTGTTGACGTTAAGAGACACGAGAAAATTATGATGATTCACATGTTGATATGCTCAACTACGATTTACAATTATACAAATACACTTACGAACCTTTTTATAATTGAGGGCGTTAGCTGTAGCCTTTGCTCCCTCTCCAGAAACTTTATCCTGTTTAAGGGAACCCTCGACATTCTTTACAAATGCTTCTCCCTTGCCACTTGCTCCAAATACTTGTTTACTGATCTCTCCAACAATAGCGCCTGCAGCCTGGCCAATCCCTTTAGCTATTTCTTTACCTGCTTCAGAATCTGCTAGTGCTAATAGACTCGACACAACCGCTCTCTTTTGTTTAGGTGATTCTTTTGGAACTAAATGTCAAAATCGATACAAATATTTGCAATGCAATTCCTATCTGCACATTCTGTCTAAAAGTTAGCTTATGCAGATAGCAGAATGTAAATCGTGACACAATACATATTCTTAGATTTCACATCAATTACTAAATGATTGTTTCTGTTTAGCAATTAAAGTATCACATTTTTTATTATTAATAAAGCGCCTTTTCTTCTTTGTAACTAAAACGACAATGATAATTTGATTTTAACAATAATTCTAAATTCGTTTATATATAAAGCTTCTTTTAAGGATATTCAACTGAAATCGAACCATTATTTAAACAATAATTGTTTCTTACCTTCTTCATTTGCCGCTCGTTTCACTAAACTTTCGAGACCATCTGGTAGAGTGACCGTTTCTATTTTTGGCGCGAATGTCCCTAATATGTAAACCAAGAATATTTCACAGTTACTAAGGTATATTATATGATCATCTGTGCTAAGTTAATCACTAATGATAAGCTTCTGAGAAATACAATGCAATTCCAAAGCGAAAAAACTTAAGCTGTCTTGACGAGAAAAAATACGTTATTATCCTACGACTGATTATTCAACGTATTTTACTAGATGTGCTACACACAATTTATTGATTGAAAGAAAGATTTCAAAGTAATATTTTTATGATTTAACTATATTTTCTAAATTTGCACAGAGCCTTATATTGTTAGTTTTTTCATCTTATGTTTGAAATCAGCCATAATTAAAAAAACATCTTTGTTAAAAATCGTAGTTAATGTAAGGCAGTCAAGGAGTGAGGAATATTACATTGAAAAATACAAGTATTTATTCTTTTTTCGATGAATGCCTGTACCACGTTTACAAATAAATGAAATATACGATTGACCTGTAAAAACGCATTAATATCCATCACAATAAAAGTATAATTAAAAAATTTGTCCACTTAATAAATGAAATATTTCAAACTCACCAGGATGCCCTCGGCATATGCTTAAAAGCAAAATCGCTGTTGTCAAGGTAACAGTCGTCTTTATGCCCATGGCTTTCATCTGCGTTCTCGACGGGTCTATGACGAGAATGGTTTTCGCTGTACAATTTACAAGTAATAAAGCACCAGAATACGTGCAAAATGATTTTTTGAATTTGATATTTGAATAATTATTCTAAAGTTTATTAATATGGGTTATCTGAATAAATGAATAAAAATCACAATATAAATAATTGTCCCGTGATTATACCAGTATACGAGCTTAATAATTTGAATGCTTCAACCCCTGACAAATGAAACCCTGGACTCAATAATATTCGTGCCTCGGAATATCCAGATTAACCACCCAAATCTTTCTAAAATCTCATGTTCTATCGATGAACAATGGCAACAATGGTAGCCAATTATATCTTAGATCTTAGCTATCCCCTAAAAAGCGAATATCAGGTACATTCCCCGTCGAGCCAATGTTATAAAATCATGAAGTTTAAATCATCTTCTCTTGTATTTGGCATATACTATTTTCTTGCTCAAACTATTTTTTTATGAAAATTGATCCAATAGACGTAATACATTTTGAGACTTAGAGGAACCTTTCCCTACAGTTAGCCATAGTTTGTTATATTTTAGGTTCATACATTTAAATACTGTATAAGTTGTAATTTTGCCTAATCATTTAATTTTCCTATTTCCTAATTTTTTCCAGGTTCGGAAAATTAAATGTTGGAAATATTGTCTTTATAATGTTATCCAATGGGAGGTTTCTTGTCATTAGGAAATTAAATTTAGGAAAATGATGAAATTTGACCATTCGGAAAATTAACCACTCGGATTAAATACCACTTATACAGTATGAGGTGAGGATTAACGATATGAGGCAACTATTAATGTGGTACTCCCGAGCATCATAGCAGATTATGGGAATTGTTAAACATAAATGACTAATGTTAATTTTTAATACTGGCTACACCCTTAATACTTGTGAAATACGTGAGGATGAATTAAATTTTTGGTTTCGTAAGATCTACCCCTATCGATTATACATTAATAATAACAGAAATAAAAGTTTAATGTCCAATATGAATTCATCAATTTTTTAGCCAATGCGTAACCGAACTAAAACATGGTGTGATTTGTGAAAAGGTCAATAACTGGAATTTAAAAATAAATTTATGCAACTTTTTGCATTAGAAGTCATACAAAAGTCAGATCTGATATTTAGTTTGAAGCTTGTTGGAAATGACTTAGCCTGGTTTCGATTCCTAACGGGATCTTAAAAGGTTCTGGACAAATGGTTTGATCGGTGTGCAACGTCGTATAACGCGTCACTTAGTCTAGAAGGTCATCATGACCTGATTACAGAACGGTATGGTCGCCATCGAATTTGAATCATTTCAAAATTCTAAATCACCTTCCCGTCTGAGAAAGTTCATGTAGTTCGTAAAAAGACCTAATCCCCCTATCACACCAAACTAGTTCTTACCCGTTCTTGCCAGTCCTACGAAAAAGTCGTAAAACGGGCTCAATCTGGCTGTGGCCGGGAAATATGTCTAAAATAATTAGCTACTTCGTTCATAAACAGTCTTCAATACGTCCATCTCATTCGCAGTTCATTCAGGTCGCACCAGGTCGGTGTGCAACGTCGTGTAACGCGTTCCTTAGTATAGAAGGTCATGATGACCTGATTACAGAACGGTATGGTCGCCATCGAATTTTGAATCGATTCAAAATTCTAAAATCACCTTCCCGTCTGAGAACGTTCATGAAGTTCGTAAATAGACCTTAGAAAGTTGCAGCTACGTTAATTCCGTTCGCACACAGTTTAAAACTAGTTTTGAAGAACGCAGTGGCAACTTATTTGGTGTGATAGCTATATTTTTGCTAACTCGTTCTTAAGCAGTCTTAAATACGTTCTCAATCAGTTTAAACCCGTTTGCAATTAGTTCTACCTCGTTCTCAATTCGTCCTCAGACAGTTCAACTCGTTGTTAAAACGTCCCTAGTAGGATTGAAGTACGACGGTTCCGTTCGTAGTACGTCCAGCTCGTCGTTAGTACATTGTCACTCGTTCTAATTGTAGAACGTATGGACCACGAGAACATTTTGATCATGTTCTAAGTTCAAGGGGACCTACCAGTTCGAGTACGTTCAATGAAGTTTGTTAATAGACCCCAAACGGTTCTAGGTACGTCCAGTTCGTTCGTACACAGTTGAAGCCCGTTTTCGAGAACGTAGTGAAAACTAGTTTGGTGTGATAGTGGGGTTAGCAAGTTGCAGACTAAGTGACGCGTTGCACACCGACTTAGTGCGACCTGAACTAACTGCGAATGAGATGGACGTATTGAAGACTGTTTATGAACGAAGTAGCTAATTATTTTAGACATATCTCCCGACCACAGCCAGATTGAGCCCGTTTTACGACGTTTTCGTAGGACTAGCAAGAACGGCTAAGAACTAGTTTGGTGTGATAGGGGGGGGGGGGTTAACATCTGCTCTGCCTCGATGGTAAAGGGATGGTAATGCCTTGGTCACATATGCTCCGATCCATCGACCGGCGCCTGGCCCTTTGAGTGTTTTGTTCAATATTGTATTCAATTTTGAACAAAATACTCAATCGGCCGGGCGCCGTAGTGAAAATCTGAGCAAATGTGACCAAGGCATTAGCAAACCCTCGGTGAATGTACTAACAATTGTCACAGAAGTCAAATCTTGTCACAACCTTAAACTTTTGATCTGTAATTTATTTATTTACTGTTCAGTTTTATTATTCCATAATTAACAATATCATCTCATCTAATGAGGATTATCGACATGTTCACGCCTAATCCTATTCTTAGCATATTTTCCAACAGCAAAAAGATTTGAACATAAAATCATCCAACTCTCTATCCTTTTCTCATATATGGCCAACACAAACTTTTAGTTGACTTGTGGCTGTGGGGTGTTCTAACATACTTTAAAAACAGTGTTTAAATGTGTTTTTTTTAATTTTTATATTTCCTTTATTTCATAATACATCATACAAACAGATACAAGGCCTACGCCTAAGCATTATTGGCCCTGTTAAAGTAGTTGCAATATAGGTTAAAATAGGTCACAATGTAAAAATATTAGATATAAAACATATTTATGAACATGAAAATAATCGTGAAAACGTGAAGACAGGTCAGAGATATATGTACATATTAATGAATATTGGACTATTTAACTTCCTTGTTTAAATGACCATCCCTAGCATTGTATTGTTTTACCAACCCAGTAGAATACAGATTACGTGACTTTGCATGTTTTATCAATTTGTTAATATACCCTCAGTAAAGAAACATGGTTCTTTATCAGTCATAACATTTTCAAAATTTTGAATAATATTACTAAAAGATTGGAGGCATATGGCGTCAATATTGTGAATAAGTGGTGGAAATTTCAAAAAACTTAGATAAAGATTTGCAAAATTTGGCAATGGTTAAAAATCATTGTCTCACAAAGTCACTAAGTCTTTTCAAATTACGTCAGAAATTATAATTGTACAGTGTAACACTTTTCCTCTGAGGCAAGGGAACACATATATGTCATATTCTTATATGTCATATTCTTCATACAATTGTAAAGCCAGTCCCAAACCGGTCATAAGTGACAGGTTTAAATAAACATTTACACACTGACAAAAATTATGGTAGTGCCGAAACCAGTCTAAACATGATTTTTTGATGATTAAAGACTTAAATAGCAGTGAAATTAGGGATAGGATGTCACCGTTTTGCTCAATAAATACATTATCACATCGATCTTACAAAATTTTGGGTATACATTTAGCTAAGTATAGTATGCATATCATATATATGGGTCACTGAGAAAGAGTAGGGATTATATTTATATCTTACAATTTCAAGTTTATTGTTAGATATGTTACCCCTATCAATATTCCCAGCCTAAACACGTTGTATGTCGTTTTGTTCCAATGGGGCTCGTATAGATGTTTCATTTCATTCCGAACATATGATACCAATAACATAAGGAGTGTCTGATGTGTTTTCTAAAACGATATAGAAAAAAGTATTTATATTTATTTCAAATTATAATGTTACCATCCGAACGATGACCATTAAATTGACGATGTGTAAAATTTTCAGAATGTTTTGATGACTGGTTTAAGAGAAATGCGTGTCCAAAAGGTTCACCATATCAATACCACTCCTTTCCAGAACCACAACTTAGCACTGAAATTTTATATATATATAACGCTGCTCCACCTAACTTAGTTATTGAAAATATATATAACTCTGTTTCACTACCAATTAACCAATTTATATGAAACTCCTACAGTTTCAAGCAAACTAACTATCCTGTCTCATGTTCAAGGTTGAGCATCCATGTTGAGCAACCAACGGTAAGAAACTTTTTGATCGGCCCTTGTACTTGAATCACACGGTAATCCAATTAAAAACCCTTTCAACATGGAGGACTATTCCATATTTTTCCAATTTTGTATGTCTTGCGAAAATAAAGAAATTGAAATTGTAGTAGAATTTATTCATTAATATAGTATAACATAAACGAGAGTTATATATAACATCAACAATGGATGTGTATCACAATCACCATCCATATGCTTATTTATTCATTTATTCACCTATTCATTTACTATGAAGTATTGTGTATGTTGTTAGACTGTTTTCTGCTGTGTTGATATACTTTAAAATCACTATTTGTTTTGTATACAGTTAACCCAATATGACCATGCATGTGTAATAAAGTTTATAAATCTAAAAAAATCTATTCACATATGAATCCTGGATAAATCCTGTCTCTGGGATTCAAACAGGATTCGCTGTTAAAATAGTTTACAAATGTTGTCTGCAGGAACCATACAGGATACATATTCAAGATAGTTAACAAATGATTCCCGTAGCCAAGATATAAGCAGTATTCATATGTAATACAGTTTACAAGTGGATCCAGCCTTCGGGTTTCGTGCAAGATTCATGTAGAAGATATTCATAAATGAATTCTGTAGCCAGGATTCAAGCAGCATTCATATGTAATATAGTTTACAAGTGAACACAGCCTTCAGGATTCGTGCAAAAATTTATGTAGAAGGTAGTTCACAAATGAATCCTGTAGTCAGAATTCAAACAGGATTTATGTGTAAGATAGTTTACACATGGATACAGCCTTCGGGAATCGGGCAGGATTCATATAGAAGGTAGTTTACAAATATTAGAGATGTCACGGAACAAAAAAAAATCGGTTCGGAACATTTTGCTTCGGAACGGAACAATTTCGGAACGGTTCGGAACAGAGTGGCTGCATGTATAAGATTAAAATAAGTTGATCATCTAGGTCTATTTGGTAACGAAAAGCTCTTCAAAACTCTTCAATGAGAAGGAGTGAAAAGAATGAACCTCTTTTGGTGCAAAATATTGAAAGAAAAATGCTGTTTTGTGGCGATTTAAGAGCCAGAAGTTGTGAAAGGGTAAAATGTTATTGTTCCGGAACCGAACCGAAATTCTCAATTTGTGTTCCGTGTTCCGTTCCGAGGGCAAAATTCCGCGGATCGGAACAAAATCGGGTATCCGTGACACCTCTAACAAATATAGATTAGATATTTTTCTTATTACAAATATTGATCAGATTGAAAAACTCTATGTAACTTGAAGTAGCTTATAAAATTTATTCGACTAGCAGTGTATGCCCGAATAAACAGCGTTTACATCTTAAACACTTTATTGGCACATCCAGTAATACTTGAAATAACACATACCCTTAGGCTGTTAAATGTACGCTGTATGAACACTGTATGCCCAAATAGTTCAATAATTTGCCTCACTTTTTGCCATACTTTTCATCAAAGTTGAGAAAAGTCGATGACATTTTGCATTCTAATTCGAGACTGTATCTAATACCTCCTTTGAAAATTTGAATGAAAATTCAAAATTCTTAGTTTAAGAGGAATTTTATCAGAACTTATTGATCGACTTGGTACTTGTGAAATAATTACCTTGCAAAAATCGTGAAATAAAACTACCTAATTGCCATTATTGTTATCATCTATCAGTCTACATGAGAACTTTTAATGCAGGATTGAAAATCTTTATTAACTATCATATAGATACAGATCAATCGAGTGCATTATTTTGCTTGCATAGGCTAGTTGTCGCAACCAATGACATCAAATCTCATCGATGGATAAGAATTCCAAGTTCTCGGGTTGATACGTACATATCTAGCTTGCCTAGGCCTATCGAGCATGTGGCGTACTTTAGTGTTTTGATCCGAGTTTCCTTGAAATTCCTGAAAATCACTTCATATCATGAGAATTTCTAAAAACTTCTCTCGTTTTTATCTACGGTATTTTACTTTTAAGAATAAGTGGTACAATTTCAGAAATGGTAAACGGTGTCAACAATTGCGGAAGGACATCTATATAGTTTCAGATTCTTAAAATAAAGTCCGGCCTGGTATCACTAAACTGGTTCGGGTTAATGGTTTTATTTGACATTTTTTTTATTTTATTTCTAGAAGGCCTTTCTCATTTTCACAATGACTTTTCTTTAGTACTCCCAACATATAAAATCTATTTTTCTCAGTCAAGGTATGATGCAAATGACATGCAATTAACGCGCGTCATTGAAACTCACAAGATGTAAATTGCATTCCCAATCTTGAATCTAATTTTAATGTTGTGTTCCAATAATAATGCTTTAATAACCATGCATATGCCTGGTTATTAATCTTACCGTTGTCCGTTGTCCGGCACTATGCAGTATAGTGATGAATTGTTCTCCATCTGTACTGTAATCTATGCGGAATGTCTTGACCCATTGGTCAACGCCATTTCTCCCCTGTGTGATCACACCAAGGAATTTCATCACACGACCTAAGTCAACTTGAATCCACTGGTTTGTATTTATCTTGCCTGAACGAGCAAGCCAGCCCCCACTTTTTGAGGACGTCCTGAAAATTTAAACATATCCACTACAGTTCGACGTAAATCATGGATTCAATGTGTTTTCTTTTGTTACTCTGCATATCAAATTATATGATAATTTGTTTCTTTTGACAACAACATTTAATATAATGGTTAAAATCAATTGAAAATTGCATAGTTTATCTTAAAGAAAGTATAAACAGCAGTCGGAATCTGTTATTTTCTTGGACCTTTTGAAATCATGCGACCATGACGTTTTGACGTTCTGTGTTACAAAGATATTCTGAACAAAATGAACAGATTGTTTAAATGCTATGTTGCTTTACTGACTGAGATTAATAGTCAAATTTCTTCACTTATCAAACAACATTTATTTAGTGAACATCAAAGTATGTTTGCAAAATTAAACATAAAAAGAATTAAGATTAATTAAGATAATAGTACTTTATCTGACTTGAGAAAAAAACGAAATGACGAAAAAATTAAAAAGTGCTGAATGAGCAAGAAAGTCAATGATAGTCAAAATCATAATACCCCTTTGTGTCCAGTCTGCCTTGATTTGGTTCTGCAGAAACCCAGAAACTTGATGCAGTTAGTCGATCAGAGGGAATATCAGGTAGCAATCCTTTCAAATTATCGCATGCAACTAAAATAATACACATTTCAGAATTATCATCTATCACGTTACATTTATCGACATGAATGTATCTATTTTAGAAGTATCTTAAAGTTTAAAAATCCTTACTATTTAGAAGAATAACCAAATTTGATTATATCAGTTATCAAAATGACCCGCATAAAGGTTGTCGAAGTCGCCTCGGTTAAGACAAATTATTTGATTTGACAGAGACGTTGTTAAAGAGGACAGGCGTTTTGACAACAACATCATGAAGGTTTTAAACACGATGGCAAAATGGGATAATAATGGATCAACAATGATCTGAGTGTACAACTAAGGCCTTACTCCTCCTTCTTATAATCCAGATTAAAGGAAGGATATTAGAATCATTAAATCAGCTTTCAGCCCCGCGCCCAGCCCAGAAATAGCAACAACATGTTTAAAACAATCAACAATCGATCGTTGTGTACATCAATAAAGACTATGCAAAAATTATAATTCAAATAAATTCAAACCATTTAAAAAAGTTTGAATGCAACTAATTATGTCATCGCTCACCTCGTAACAATGCTTTACTGTCATATTTTAACTTTAAGAAGAATGCTGACCAACATTTTTTATTATTGCATGCAATTGCTAAATTCAGGATTTCTTTTTAAAGATTTTCATATAAAAGTTAATACCACAATGACTGTAAATAGGCTGGTCAGTTGCTGGAATAGTAGATCAAGCACATTCATAAGTTTAAACCAAAGCATGGAGTCAGAGACGATATATTTCGCAATGTTGTAACTCACCACACTTTTGGACATAACAATATTCCCATTTTTTGTTAATATCTGTTGTATAACACCAAGGACCTTCCTGAGCGTTATCGGGGTTGCGGCAATAGTTTTCAGCGTCTTTCAGAGTGTCTTCAGGGAAGTTACTAGGCTTAATATCATGGTTGGGTTTATGGGGGCTCTGAGTATCCCATCTCTGACACGTTTTTCCGGATTTGGTGATGGACAATTTCCCCTGATATCCCTTGCCTAAGGTGTCTGCTTTACATTCTTTGTTGTTTTCTTGAAAAGAGATATTTTCCAGTTGTATTGCAATACATCACATAAAATCTGCAAAATGTGTACACTCCCCTCCATAAGTTTGGCAACCTCAGCTCCGCCATTGAACTACGTGTTAAAGCCTCTTTACCTTTGAATTTTAGTCGAAAATTGATGATAAATTTAATATATATTTTTGAAAATCGACATTCCCATGTTAACCAATGGGAAATAGTAGGTTTGCCGCAAGTCATATGATAGAATATCCATCCATCCGAGTCCTTGTAAAAATACGAGTTAGGCAGGCAATTGAATTTGCTAACTTTATTTTAAATTGATATGTTTCTTCAGGTTCAACAAAGTTATAGGGTTTTAAAGTCAAAATCGTTTTTCAAAAAACTCTCCCATTGAAATAACACAGGAGGGGAAAAATGATTTTCAAAAATGACCTCGAAGCGCTGTAACGTTAGTATTCATGAAATAAACTAAACACTTAGTGTACAAAAAAAGTTAGACAATTTAATTTTCTAAATAATTTTTTTTACTGAATCTTTTGCTGAAGAGATATTCTGATTTCTGATTTGCCCCGAACCCTCCATTTCCCATTGGATTACATGGGAATGTAAATTTTCGACCTATTGTAATTGAGAAAAAAATTTAGAAAATTTGGAGATATTGAAAATAAAGTCAAGTAATCTTTCCCTCAATATTATAGGTTATTTCATCGCCAGTTAAGTAAATAAATATTCAAACGTAAAGAGGCTTTAACACGTAGTTCAATGGGGGAGATAAGGTTGCCAAACTTATGGAGGGGAGTGTAACAGGAATTTCACGAACATAAATGAGATATCTCAAGTTCTTAATATTTAGCGTTGATTCATATTGAACAGAAAACCTGACTATGTAAAAGCCAGGGCAATACGTCTCTGTCTAAATACGTCTAAATATTCTATATCTTTTCGGACATTTAAACAAGTAAAATGTCTCACCTTTCACTTCAGTTTTCACTTTAGCTGAAAACAAAACAGATTAAGACAGGGGTGTCATGAGGGACCAATTAAAAAAAATGAAAATCTTAAAATTTCTTAAAATTAATCATTATGAATTTATTACAAAATTTATACAAAATTTTGAAGGTGCTAAAATTCGAATTTCCTTCCATTTTCAAATTTTTTGAAATCCGCAGTGAATACGTTTTGGTCGTTCATGACACTACAGGTTTTTCAAGCAGATGGCGCATATTGCAATTGTAATTAATATTATATATTGGACCGAGGGCCGCAGGCTGGGGGTATAGTACATTATAGAAGACGTTCCCAAGGGGAAATCATTCACACTATTGCTATTGCTAAATTTATGACGTAATTTAATGTAAAAAGTCACTCAGTGAGATTGTGAGACAACGTACAGGATGAGCCTAAAAATACGCCACTTTTTTCAAGACACTATAACCTTTTTATTTTTCAACCTATTTATCCCAAATTTTGCAGTTATATAGTGCTAGGGGTTCCAAGTAATAATATAATGTAACAAGTCCTTCAACATGGATTATATTTGATCTAAAAGAGTAGTTCAATTGTCCCGCCATCCTCTTTGATGATAGCTTTTCGTCTTAGTTGCCTTGTTGACATGGCAGTATCAGTGAAATGTTGGCTAAGTTTCTTTCAACCTGTCTTATTTGCCAGCTTTAGGTGGGCAATTTTTTAGATTGGGTGCCTTCAAACCATCTCCTAGATACCTTCCAATACCATATACTGAACTGGGGATTGCTTCAGGACTATTAGCTTGGTGGTTATCAGGCCGGATCAGTTCAGGGACATTTTGTAAATTATGTTTATTTCTCATGGCACACCACATGTTTAAGTGAGACGCTGGTGACATATTTTATTCAAATTAAAGTGTACAATTCATAATGCATGGCTATATAGCATCCTCAAGTTTCATTTGGTATGCAAATTATGATTTTGTATCAAAATTTAAAAAAGTTAAAGCATTTTGAAAAAAGTGGCGTTTTTTGGCCCACCCTGTATTTAACCATTGCTAACTTTTTTTAATCTTCATTTAATTTTCTCAAATTTCCACCAGTTATTAACAATATTTACACCATGTGCCTCCAAGAGTTTAGTAATATCATACAAAATTATGAAAATGTTATGAATGATGAAGGACCATGCACATTTTTTTCTTTTTTTACAGAAGGTATATTATTCAATTGATTAATAATCAAGATTGTTACGATGGGCCTCATAATAAACGGATCGATAATTAATGAATATTATGGTGGATAATATATTACCTTGAATCTTGCATACTTTATTAACCTCTTTGGTACCGCCTGGGCATTTCTCTACACATTGTTTACTGCCATCTACGAGATTTACCGTTAAGCTACGACAGGCCCTACATGCTTTATCACTCTGTCTCTTGAAGCAACCTAATAATTATGATTCACCTATAAGCTACAAAATAATATAGATGTATACTACATCTGTAGAACGATGTTAATTTTTTGACGTTAATGCACTGTGGATGACATAGTAGGCAATCTTAAATAGACACATACCGTTGATGCACTGCGGATGGCATTTGAAGCAATCTTTCTCTTTTGAGCCTGATCCATCAGCCCCACACTCCACTTGTCCCATTGACGCTTTTGGTAAGATGGATATTTGCACCAATTGTACATCGCGCATTCCACTCCCAAAAGCATAAAACTCGGGTAGTATAGGGTCGCTCGTATCTTTGTAATCCAAATATACTGTCATCTTATCCTACAAAGTAGCCCGGACAGAATTGTTCAACATTTTTAATTTTCAGTATAATCAAAATCCAATGACACATTTGAAAACTAGAGTAAACTTCTGACATACTAAAAAGATATCTATGGAACATCTCTTTATCTATAAATATTATAGCCATTCATGGTATGAGTGACGCAAATACAAAGTTCATCATTTTGTCTAATATTTGTTCAAAAATGGCAACATGTTTCGTGAATTTGAAAGTTAAGTTGAAGGTTAGTATTTAAAAAATGTCATAGGTTGCATTAAAAACCTTTTGTTAATTTGACTGGAATGTATATCTGAAAAGGTCCATACATTGTATATGTACAGAACATATATATACATGTATATTTGTAGGGTCGCAGGACTTAACATTTGGTTTTTGACCATTCAATTGTTACCAGTCGTGGATTAGCAGCTTAATTGTTTAACCCTTGCAGCTATAGGGTCATGCTGCCACCGTACTTTAAGTCTTTCCCAGTCGCACAATTTTTTAACCATCCTTGGAATGCACGTGAATTGTTCTTTGTTCCCCAGCTTTTCAAGGGCCTCCTAGATGGCTGTATGGGCCTCTTGAAAGGATTTGGGACATATTCTCGCGTCCCGCGCATTGGGGCGCCACTTGTTCACATCCTCTTGAGCACAACCCTCAAACTTCTCAATAGAGTTGAGTTCATGAGCCTTTTAGGGGAGTTTAACTTCTTGTAAGCTATTTGATTTTCGGTCATTTGCTGTAATTCATCAGGTGGCAGCGTGACCCTATAGGCCTATGACACTTCTTGAATATAAAGTTTTAACTGAACATTCAAATTCACGTAACATTACACCATTTTTGAACAAATGTGAAACAAAATGGTAAATTGTGTATTTGCGTCACTCATACTATAACCGCCTATAATATCAAATAGTTTTTTGTATGTCAGAACTTTACTCTAGTTTTCAAATATGTTATTCGGTTTTGATAATACTGAAAATAAAAAAAGTTATTAGAGAAAAAGTGACCCTGAAAACAGTATTTAAAATTATACCGTATAATATACAGAGTCGATTATAAAAAAGTTTACATTGTATTATCATAGTAAAATCATGAATATACATTACATAGCTACTAAATAGTGACATCAATCAAAATCGGCCCTCAGTGAGATTGTGAAAAATCTGACTTACCACAGGACCAAGGATGACTATAACATTCATAATTAATTTCACGAATAATTAACACAATGATATATGAACAATGTCTTTAAAATGATGAATATTAATTTTAGGAAACGTTGCCTACTAACCTCATTTTCGATGACTTTTCCGTATTGTATATGTAAGGTGTCTTTTGTTTTTGTAAGGCAAACCGAATACGTTTGAAAAAGATTAGAGTCGCCTAGTCCCCATGCAGAAATGATGGTCGTTTCCATTTGCTGGACTTTGTTTGCCTTAGAGTAAAAAATGACGAAATGAAAGTTTGATGAAATCTATGTTGAATCGTAACTTATGTTTACGCGTACAGCTTTACGTTATAAAATATAAGTAAACGGAGACAGGGAAAATCAGGTGAGGAGTATCTTACTCATCGTTATATGAGCGATGTCACCTAAGAGTTACACGTCAAGAAAGTATGACGTGTCCCACACACTTTATAAGCTGTAAACGTAAGAGATTGATGAACATGCTTTAATCGGGTTCATGTGCATAATGCTTATTAATTATTAATGAGTTATAATTATTTGATCTGCTCATTTATTCTGCTTTTTGTGCTGTACTCACATGGGGCATGTTCGTATAGATTATAAGCTATATTTGGGTTAACGGTATCTGAGTTATTAGGGAGTTTAAGCTTGCACTGTTTTCACATTCATAAAATGATTTGAATGCTGAATTGTCTATATCTGGATCCCGTCATTCTTATGTACAGTATAATAGTAACTTAGGTTTATTAGTTATTCAGTGTTTTACTGCTTGACGACTTGGAAATTTTATCGTTACATTTCGCCATTCGAAATTGTTATCATTCAAGTAACAATAAATGAACCTACTTTGTAGACCCCTGCAGAATCAGATGATATATGTACAGTGTACCAAGTATCTTTTTTACTGGGGATTAAGGCGAACACAACAAAAATGTCACCAGCTGATGCAGCAGTAAACTTGACACAACTCCCCTTTTCTGTAGGCTCAAAGCTATGAACGTTTGACCATTTCACGTTACAGGGTAATGCCACTTTAAAGGATGCGATATCCTCTTTGCTAGAAATATAGATATAAGCATATTTGACCCTTAACGTTACAGCATAGTGCCACTTTCAAACATGTGGTATATTCTTTGCTATAATAAAATCATAATTGACTATTAAACGCTACAAGGTAGTGTCATTTTCGAGGATGTGATATCTCATTTACTAGAATTATAAAATATAAGCATATTTGACCCTTGGACGTAACAGCGTGGTGTATTCTTTGCTAAAACTATATATAGAATCATAATTGACTATTAAACGTTACAGGGTAGTGCCATTTTCAAGGATGTGATACATTCTTTGTTTTGTTAGGCCTTAATCTAGAAACAAAATTGACCATTTTACGTTACAGGGTAATGTCAAGGATATGGTTTCCTCTAAGCTAGACCGATGGATAGAATCTTTATTGATTGGGATTAAAGATTGGAGCTTTACAATATATTATAAAATGCTAATTACTTGTCTTCGTTAGGCTTCGACAATGACTCAACTCGTGCTATGGGCCTACCAACTATTTTCTGTGATATCGTAATACCCTCTTTCTTCATTACATTATTGTCGTCGTTGGTTATCCTAAGCATTCCATTATTCTCGTCATAAGTCATCAGCAAACCCTTTATGGATATCTGTAAGTTAAAATGCTAAAGTTATTTTCTGTTATATATTTAAGGAATAAATAATGATGGGCCATTCAATATGGTGAAATTCAGCACGAGTTGGAGAATGTTGTACTGACATTGTGTCCAACGAGTGCTGAATAATTTCACTATATTGAATGTCATTATTTATTCCATAGTTAGCATGATATTCATAGGATAACATATGAAAATAAAAATGGTATTTTTGTAATCAGTGGTAAAATATGATATTTTTGACGAATTTTCACTTAACCATAACATACGTTTTTTAGCCATGACATACGACGTCGTATGCGATGGTTTATGGATTTTTGCTACTTCAGACTCAAAACGAGGCTAAGTGTCAGCATCGCCGGATCGTTTGGAAAATTCGAATTAAATCAATTAATTTCAGACGATTCTGATGATGACTTTAACTATGGAATAAAAAGAACATCATATGATTTACTCGTGATATGATTTTAATCCACTCATGGATATTGATATCTGCACTCTCTCGCTACGCTCGCTCGTGCAGATATCATATCCATTCGTGGATAAAAATCATATCACTCATAAATCATAGGATATCCTCTATTTATTCTGATTCAAACATAAAAAACATTGTTCAGAGAATTGTGGATTTGGGGTCCGTAAAACAACAAAACTTGTTGTTATGTTCGCCATTCATAGGCGTGACGTCATAATACAACACAATACATATATACCCGGATGATTGAAAAGAGCACGGTCGTGCATCTATGGAGAAATAGAGAACATTCTTTATATTGACTAAGCTGCATTCTGAATGGTTGAGAAATTCAATCAGAGCACGGTCATGTTTGGATTTGTAATATGTCGATCAGTTGACATCATTCGTGTGCATAATTTGTAAAAGGCTATTCTAACAGGCTTTGATATTGTAGGTTTCAGTATGAATGAAATGTCCCTCGGTATATATTCTAGTCCTAGATTGTAGTATTGGCTTTCGAATGGAGCGGGAGTTGGAAGGTAGGGACATTACTTCTTTTCATGTTAGATCATGGTTTGTGATACATACTAGGGTTCTATTTTTCTTATGAGAGGTTTGCGCTTGAAGTTTGAATTTCTTATTAAGTTTCTTTACAGTTTTTGGTCCTTTCCATTTGACACTTGTACTCGAACTCCAATGCAGTGTCTCGGTATAGACACTGCGGCGGGCAGATTATGGAATCCCCAAAATTTGGGGAAGATAGTCCCCCTTTTTTGTCACAGATGTACTTGATTTTCATACAACTTATAAAATATATGTTCTTTTATGTTCACCAATCATTATTTTGTCAAAATATTTCAAAATTATTGAAATATGAGAAGAAATCACCGCGGAAGGAATTCTGAGTAAAAGTTTTGTTGATAATAGTTTACCGCACGTGTTGTTTATTAGTTAATACGCGCAATTCAACCAATGAAATTGTCTAAATTTTACAATCACGCGACCTGAGCATGGGACTAGAACCAATCACGTCAGTTGTTTATTACGAAGTTACCATGCTTACGATGAGATACCTGCCCGCCGCAGTGATATATCACTGCACAGGAGTTCGACTTGTACTTTGATATTTGAAATCTCGCTGAAGTCTCATTTTATAAAATTTTAAGAGATTTGCACCTTATCTATTTATCTTTTGGTCAGTAACGTTGATGTTAAGTCATGCTCACCCTTTTCAATGTCAGATCAGACGTACTTTGTCCGTTATCAAACCCATCATACAAATGTAAGACGGTCTCATCCCTTTGAGTGTACCACCTTTTATGTTTTAAAGACACTTGAACGATGTCATCGGAGGCGACTATTCCTGTGATATCACGATCCATATCGAAGATGACTCTAAATGGACCAGATTTTAGATTTTCCCAAGTTGGAAAAGACGATTTATCAAAGGCAGTAAAAGAGGTATCACACCCAGGACGTCCTGCTGGAATTAATTGTTCCGTAGATGGTATAGGCCCCTATGACACAGACAAAGAGGAAAATTCAATTCAAAGACACTTTTCGAACAATACCATGTTAACCCATCACAGGAAAACAATGAACCACTCCGTATAGTACAAGTAGGCGTATCACAATAAAATCCATGTTGAATTTAAATAGAAAACAAATACAATTATAGCAATTTTGATTCATGTTAAACCCGTATTACATTAGCGTGATATAGAAAACAAAAATATCAGTAGGATATACATAAGTCTAGTCTATTTTAAAAAATATGAAAGCCAAGAAATCATCAAACAATTTATATAATAATCGACATTATTGATAGCAAAAAAAGTTGTATTCATATATTTAAAAAAGGCATTCAAGTACTTTTAAAATACTATATAAAAATCAGAATAGATGTATTTACACATAAATAAAAACCGATAATAAAACGTATAGGTTTGTATGCTAAACACAAATAAAATGCTATTCAAAAATAAAAATAAAAGTTTCATAAAAGTGAATATTCATTTTGAAAATAGAAAAGCATAAATATCTTTTTCAAGTTTTCCTTCTGTTCATAATAAACAGGAATGTTAGCCCGGTGGTTTTTGATCCAATTGCAAAACGTTACCACTCACCTCCTCCATGTAAACTGCAATAGCTCTTTCCAACGCAAGTCTTCGCATGTCAAACTGTTCTTGAAATTCTTTCTTGCTTGTTCCATACTTGCAATAGTTCTTTACTATTTTAATTTCTTTTCCAACAGTCTTTTTACTTTCAAAGTAGAATTTTCCCGTGGCAGGGTCATTCTTAACACTTGGAAAAAAGCAATGTGGTATATGTAATATTGTCTTAAATATTAAGTTTAAGTGCAGTTTTACTGTATCCACTTTGCTATTCTGGTCAACATTGAAGTGCTATTAATAAGGATATTTATTTAGATATCTAATTTAATTTCAAAAGTACGCTGATAAGTACTGACATCTTTGCAATCAAAACAAGAAAGCATTAATATACATACGCGGCTCCCAAACATCCTTGGTTTGTATCGTCTGGGAAAAGTGATTCTACGTTCATGTCAAACAGCTCTGTAATCTTTCCCAGATGGAATGCAAAAGGCCTGGGGTATTCAGGGATTGACTGTAGCCATGCTTCAAGTTTTGACTTGAATCCAGGATCATACATGTCGCTAATTATTGATGCAATTTCCTCGTCACCACCCTCAACTGACAGATACGAGTTCGCATAATTTTGAGCAGTCCTTTAATATACGACACGCATAATGATAAGGTTGAATCATATGCTATTGTAAATGTCGTTAATTAATATTTCAATTTTATAGATGGTTAATGTTGTTTCAAAATAGGATAATGCTTGGTAACGGAAGGTCGAGTTTGAATAATGCTAATAATAACAACCGATTCTTTTTGCGTACAAGTATTTATTCTCTTACCTTTGTTCATTTGCAGAATTTTTAGAGGAAGAAGAAGTCTCCTTTGTTGCACTTTGCTTCTTATTTTCTTGTTCCTTTGTATTCCTACTTGCTTGTAAACGTGCACCAGTAAAAAGTCCAAGACTGGCTGAACCTTGAGAAGAACCTAAGGGAATAAAATAGATTTGACTTTTACAATTGGATAGAATTTAACCTGAATATGTTTAAATAACTTTTTCGATTAAAAATGTTTTTTTTACTTGAGAGCATAGCCATACTTGAAACGTAAATCTTTATCTCGAATTCAAAAAAAAATAAACAAACAAAAAAAAAATTCAATATTTTAGAATGAACTGCGAAGTCCAGAGTTATTACAGTTGATAAAGGATCCAGGTGTGATTCGAAACGTTTAAATTTTGTGATTTAAAATAATAAAGGTTGTGAAAAGAAGAAAATTGTTTTTGTGATTTAATAATCCATTCTGAGGAACATGTTTTAGCACAATACAGGCCAATTCCTAATATTTGTCCCTTTTGCAGGAATCACTTATTGTACTAAAAATCACTTCATACACGCTAGTTGATTACTTACTTGATTGAGCTGCAAAGGAGTTACTTAGTAGAGATTGCATATCAGAATACGCAGCTGTGGCAAATTGCTCTTCGGTCTCTTTCTCCGACATTACTTTCGTCCTTGAGAGTTTTAAACTTCCTCCAAACTTTGCTGATTTTATAAAGTGTGTTCCCCATCTCAGTAAAAAGTTCTCTATAATTCAAAAATTTAATTGATATTTTAAAAAACAATATGATTGTCAGTCAATCCCATGGGATATCACTACGCGTCATTTACATGCCATTAAGTGGCTTCAACAGAATGAATGATGTCGGGACTACTGTTTTCAGAGGATGTTTGTTACAGAATTCTTAGAAGGTCTAGACCAATCTTTAAACTGCTTATGTCAAGCTTATATGAATTAATGAATTCCCTTTACTCTATATCAACGTATTATTACTAATTGTTTAATCTAAAACTTACGATATTTCATGTATTAAAGTATTATAACTAATTGTTTAATCTAAAACTTACGATATTTCATGACCGCGGAGGAAGTTTTAAAATATGACGTAGGCAGATTCAAGTAGTCCTTCAAAAGTGCCTGACTTAGATCACCAGGTGTCACTTCATCCATGAAAATCTCAAACCTACAAATATGTAAACATTTTCGGCTAGAGGGTATAGCGTATAATTAAATACTGTATAAGTGGTAATTTTGCCAAATCATTAAATATTTAATTTGCCTGTTGCCTAATTCCTGCCAGGTTCGGAAAATTAAATATCGGGAATATTATCTTCATTGTGTTATCCAATTGGAAGTTTTTTGTCATTAGGAAAATTAAAATTAGGAAGATGATAAAATTTGACCATTCTGCAAATTAACCACTCGGTTCAAATACTATTAATAGAGGACAATAAAACATCTAATCCCAAACATACAAACAAACACTCTCTTTCCTACCACAGGTGGGACATTTTTCTTCATTATGCCCCTCAATGATGTGCATGTTAGTAGTATAACTCATTTAGTGATTGGCTGATTGATATAGCATAGATGTAGTATATACACTAGCCGCAATATTGTTTTTTACGGAAGTATTACGTAACCATTTAAACTGAGGCCTCATTATATATTGAATAGTGATTGGGTGAATGTTCATGAGCTTCCTTGTGCAATGTTTTACGTAGTTACATTGTAATATTTCAAAATAGTACAAAAGGGCAAGTAAGATATGGCAAGCAATTTCAGATAGATATATCTTGGATTATGAATATTGTCAGACCATGCTGACAGATGTATCTTTGAGATCCATTCAATTTTTTCGAAACAGTATAGACAATGATAATTTAGTTAATTAAGCTGTGAGATATTGATGGAGCAATCAACCCATCGATATACTTTTTCAAAAATGTTGACCCAATTTTCACCAAAAGGGCAACCAATTATTATAATGCTTAATACATATAGGAATGTGTTTTGAGATTTGATTTGGAAAATTAATTGCTCCAAAGACTTTGAAGATACAGAATTTGGATGACCAAAATTAGCTGAAATTGATGGATAGCATGAGTAATGCCAATATGGAGAAACACTAATCTTTCTCTAATTCATTTTTCCTTTTAAGAACTTATTAATACATTAAAATAAAGAATAAAAATGGATTAAACATTGTAAAAAAATGATTGACTTCTTGGTGAAAATTGGGTAATAACTAAGGAGAGGGTGAACGACATTCATAAAATAAAACAAGCTGTGCACCTTGCAACGATTAGATTACTGCATGTCTTTACATTTTAGGTAAGGATGATGACGAGAAAGTATGTAGACCTAAATGGAACCTATGTTGAGGGTCCTATTGAATGAACATGGCATAAATGTCACACAGTGATAACACTATATTCAAAATCAAATATGGAATATTCAACTGCATTGCACGTTATATGAGCTCTAATTATAGTTTCAAAGCAGCGTACATATTGATCATCACTTGTATTAAAGTGAATGAAATAAATTATAATGATATAATTGGAGCCAACAAATATGTTTCAGAAAGAACTAACCTAACAATATTCATTTCTAGGTATGACATAAACACTCTCGAAGACCCTGCTCTTTGTGATCCTCTAGCACTTGACCCGCCATTTGAATCTTGCGAATTTGCGGAGTTTATACTGCTGCTCCCTGAACTCTGGGCCCCTCCAGAAACGGACGCTGAAAGAAAACCTCTTCCACCTCTGCCAGATATTGAGGTGCCATAATTTCTGTTTATTGCTTCCTGAAATGATCCTTTGTAAGAAGATGTGGACGTACTCTCTTCTAGAAAGTGTCGGAAACTATCTTGTGACGTAAACACACGACTGTTAACGTCAGTGTCGTATATACCAACAGCATTCATTGTGTCAGGTATATCACTGTTCATGAAGCTATATATTAATAAATATAGTATCAATTAAGATATATACTAATATGTAAGTAATTCCAAAATAAATGTTCAATGACAAATCTCAAAAATAAGTAATGGGTATCATCATGTGATAAATTGTTGTGTCAGGTTGTGTCAGAGTGTCTTCAAATTAAAAAAACTAGGTTATATAATACAAGTTGTATTTTTTATAATAAGAGAGAGATTTCGCACAAAATGCCTGGATCACATTTGCTGCGATACATCGGCCAGCGCCGATTGAGTATTTTGTTCAAACTGAATACAATTTTGAACAAAACACTCAATCGGCCGGGCGCCGGCCGATGAATGTGACCCAGGGAAAACCAGTAAAATTGAGCATATGCTTCAAGTCAAGAGACAAATGACATTTCTTTGACCTTTATTTATTGCAGTCCGAGAAGATATTTCCTGACGAATAGACCCAATATGAAACACCTTGTATTTTAATATAAATACCAACCTGCCCTTATTTTTGCATTGTCTTTGTACAAGTGACTTCTTCCGGAATTCCTGCGTCACATCACCACGTCCATCAAAACCAACTCCAATAAATGCAGCGGCATCTAGCATGTTCTAGAAATCAACGAACCATTTATTTTATGTATTGGTAATAAAATCATACCGACAGCTCAGGCCAGAAATATGATAGGACATTTTATCGTATGATCTGTAAAATGAAGTCCTCTGATTGGTCAGTTCTTGTGCTGTACCAATCAGTATTGCGACGGAGATTGTCCCCGGTGATCATCTCTGTCGCAATACAGAAACTATTGGTACGGAGGGGACAATCTCAGTAGCAATACAGAGGATCACACGATAAAAACGTTATTGAATGATTTGAAGTGCAATACAGAATATATTCTGTTCGAGGAATTCCGTATTGGAACGAGACGAAGTCGAGTGCCAATACAGAATATCGAGACATTCAATTACTTATAACGTTTTATTTATTTTTCATTAGCAACTCATTAAATGTTTTATGAGCTTCTCTCTCACTCTGGAAGAAGACACCTTCCAATAAGAGATTCGATGTAGAAAAGGTATTCACTTTGGTATTCACTTATTAATGCTTTTCTGTTTTTCACTTACCAAGCACAAAGTTGACATTCTTTTAAAAGCGTAGCAGGGGTCTCCGGGTGCATAATTTCTGAGAAAACACCCGTTAACAAGGGCAGGACCGATACCATGTGAGTACGTGTAAGCGTCGCCAGAGTTACTATCTTGACTCCGTCTGAAAGTTTTTTACACTTTTCATTGAACCAGGTGTAAACGGGTACTGTAGGTGGTCCTATCAAAGTTTGGTTTTACTCTCTATTGATTTATATAGTGACCTAATCACAATTATTTTCCTTATTATTTATTCACAGTAAGGGCCAGTAAGGGCCGTAAGGAAATGGGACCATAATCCACAGGGGACCATAATTTCTGTTACTCCGGGACAATGTTTTTGAGTGGCATAACTATAATATCACACTATTTAGTACTATACTAATATCTATTATAATCACCATGCCAGGCCAGTTCTAGGGGTTTTAGTGCTGGTTTAGAAGGCATTCATTTTACTATCGACCTGAGCAATATGTGAGATTATAGTGGTGGTCCATAATGGTGGTCAATAATGCAATTAATGACTGGCAATTTTCCTGGGAAATTAGATATCGTTCAATGCGTAAGACTTTTTGCTATTACGGCCCTGGTCATTAACGGTGGTAATAATACTAATAACGTCATTTCTGCGGGCAATATAGTGAATGTTATTCAAATATTGAATTCTGTGGAGTTGAATATTCAGGAGCTGATCTGGGAACCAACGAAGGGGTTGGCCAAATTCTGGTCTGAGAAAAAAGATTTTGGGCCCCTAAAATCAAGAAGTGGGCTCAAATTTTGAAATTTTGAGGCCCATTTTATTCAAAATCTTGCCTAAAATTAAAAAACAAGGCCTTAGAAGGCCCATGTATGACCAAAAAGACCCACTTTTGGGTGCTTAAAGTGTCTCACATATTCGATCAAAACTTGCCATGCAAACATGTTATTCTACTTTACTGGCCCCCCTTGCTGTAACAAGGAACCCAAAACACATTAAAACGTAAACATAAACCAATTAGTCACTTCACTATGAAAGTGAGGGGTGTTAGCAAAAATGTGTATTAGGCCATAAGAAGTAGGTTATTTGTTTTGCGTCATGGCAAAATCCAAATCATGCAAGGGGTACAAGGAAAACAAACACAAACTCAAGAAAAAACACAAACTTGTTTATGGGCATATAAAGGAATGACATGCCAATTTGCAGTGATTACAAACACATATCTATACATCCTATACAATATATTAAACATAGCTATTATTTAAGGGTACAAAATAAGAAAATACACAATGTATGCTAAAGTAATCAATAACACTGTCAATTTTGACGCACATCAAATGATCTGCCATTTCGTCCGATTCTGATTGAATGAAATGCGATGGTACTTTCAAACCCTTGTAATTGCTATTTGGATGTGTTTTTTCTGATTTACTCAACATCGTGCAAGCAAGGGGACGCACAACAGAGAATGTACTTCTTATGGCCTTAGCAGAATACGCTGTGTGCATGGACTAACACAATATCAGTGGTCATTTATACCTGGGTCACATATGCTGCGACTCATCGGCCGGCGCCCGGCCGATTGAGTATTTTGTTCAAAATTGAATACATTTCTGAACAAAATACTCAATCGGCCGGGCGCCGTAGAGAAAATCTGAGCAAATGTGACCAAGGCATTACTGTGTCAACTTAGTAACCCTTGCATATCGTGCTCACTCAAGTATTGAATAATTTTTTTGATGATCTAAATGTTTGTGGTTTATAAAAAATGTGATATATTTTAGTTAGAAATACATTAATTAATAAATTCATTCAAACAGCACTAGAATGCGGGAAGAAAGAGCAATAGTGACAAAATGCAAACAGAATTTTCCGTAAGGGTTTCAAACATTTCTGGACACAATCATACATGTACTTCATGTGTACTGTTATTTTTAGTGCTGTATTTATAGATATAATTTCACGTATTAAAATCATATTTTCCAGCAATGACTTCAAATTCGGAACCACACCCATATCACATTTTCTTCAATAACTCCAAACATGTGTAAACATTGACCATGTGCATATAAATTCAGATTTCACGCGCTCTTTCCTATTCGAGTACCTCATACACCCCTGCATGGATTTGAGTTGGATTCGTCTTTTATACGTGAGCCGGTACACATCGCAAACGCTGATTTGATAAAGATTGCGAGAATCTTTAAGGCCTTTTTTGGCTAAAACTTTTTTGGGCCGAATTTTTTTTCAAAGTACAAAGACTATGGACTTTACCCTTTGCATTCGTTTGACTTCACTTCTTAAAAGAGAGCTTCGTCTTCACTCTTTCAAACTAAAATAAACTTGTGAACTCACCGCGCCAATCAGTGTTCGTCGGCCAAATTTGACCGACGTTCTTTATATGGTCATTCCTTCTGACGTCATCGTTGAGCCCGGAATTGACCAATGACAAGCGCATATTTAATTAGAACGCATTTGGCGTATGTTTCTTCAAGCTCGCTGGTTGGTGGAAGGTCAGCGCGTTGGTCAAAAGTGATTTACCCAAACTGTCACCGATACTCGTCGTGGGGGCGGGGCTACTAAACTGTAATATGGTATCTACTAGGCAAAGTGTAGTTTAACTAGACTCTGCACGCAGGGTAATGGACTTTAACATGGAAGATCCGAATTGATTAAAGTAGCACACAATATTAAAGTTAGAAGTACACGGTATTGTTATGATATGACGTTAATAGTTTTAACGTTTTTCAAAACGTTCGCCAATATTCTGATATAAATCACGATCTCTGTCACACCATAATATAAAAATTCGATTCGGATCTTCCATGTTAAAGTCCATAATCTTCGTACTTTGAATAGTTGACATTTTGATTACATTTGTAAAATCCTTATCCCGCGTTTGTTATACAATATTGAACCTTTTCTTGGTAGGATTTCCTGATACAACTTCACCGTCTGTCATATCCAGATGAAAATACTTTTTTTACTAAATTCCCGAGAATTTAGTGATGTGACGTCATTTCAATTGAATATATACACTGGTGATCCGCTCGATTACGCTGGGTACTGGAACGGTTCGTTTCGGTAACAAAATGTCGGAACGTCGAAGGTTCGATTTTTCTTTTTTCCTTATTTCATGCGTTGTAGGCCGAATTTTCGTGACGTTTTTCCCCTCAAACGTATATCAGTATCATTTGTTTGAGAAAATGTACATGTTTGCGAAAAATAGCTCAGAAGACAACAGAATCGTTGATTTAATTCCTCACCTAAGTTACATAAACGGTTTGGGGTAAAGTGCAGATCTTAACTGTTTTTCGAAATAGCATTTATGTAACTTAAGTGTACATGTACATGTACATTTGATACTGATACACGTTTTTGATAAAAATTTCGAGGGAATTCTGCCTACAACGCGTGAAATAAGGAAAAAAGAAAAATCGAACCTTCGATGTTCCGACATTTTGTTACCGAAACGAACCGTTCCAGTACCAGCGTAATCGAGTGGATCACCAGTGATATAGTGGTATTCACTAAAAGTAACGTCACTGCCCGTTCGGCCTACAACGCGTGAGATAAGGAAAAAAGAAAAATCGAACCTTCGATGTTCCGACATTTTGTTACCGAAACGAACCGTTCCAGTACCAGCGTAATCGAGTGGATCACCAGTGATATAGTGGTATTCACTAAAAGTAACGTCACTGCCCGTGAATACACTCTTCACGCGTTTTCTAACCAGGGAAACATGGAATACCTCTATATATTTTTAGTCACATGGTATCTATTTCACCAATGAGAAAACGAGTATCACAGCATGGAAATAATAATTCACTATATTGCCCTTCGAAATGACGTTATTGTACTAATATAGTGGCCATGACAGAACAAATCACCCATTTCCTTTACCTGATTAATTATGATTGTAATATTTTTATGAAATTTTCACGGGATAAACTTGAAAGTTATCCTAAAGGAGAGAATATTTTCTTGAACTTATGGTAAAGGTTCAGTATATTTACAGCTTTCCAAAATGATAGCTTACTTTTCTTGAGGGTCAATGTTTTCTGTTGGTGTTTTTCTGTTGGTCGTTTGTACTAGCTCTATTAATTGATGTACTGGCGAACATTCATCAATTCTTCTCTATGTTTTATCTATTAACATGACTTAGTTAAACATATATCTAACCAGCTAGTGATATGTTGTGCAATCTACTGTCATTCTGTTTTTCACAATTGGCGCTTAAATATACATTAAACAATATATTTAATATTTTAGGAATGCTTTGAAGTTTATCATGTGGAAATTTCATGGAAAAATATATAGTGAGAACTGTAAAAGTATGAAACTGTATTTGCACTGTCTCCAAATACTTAAGATTCATCTTACTCTCATAGAGTGTATCTCTAATTCTATAAAAAATCTTATAAATGGTTGAAAAATCGTTAAATACAAAATACAATTTTTACCTATCACTCTTGTCAATGTCGAAATTTGTTGTTATTTTGACACCAGGGGGCGCATACCCGGTCGCATCCAAAAAACCTTTGCCTGGAATTATGTTAATTTCCGCCTGAAATAACATGCAGTTGTACAAACACTCTAGATAATATATCATTACTAATAGTTACTTAATGTGATGGGGCTCGCTGTGATGTTTTTTTAGCCCCGAATTATATAATGTTACGTAATATTGTTTTTGTATTTGACCACAAACACGTGTGTTGTAAAATATATGTATACATTGTAATTTATTATTTGTGAAAAATTAATACAAGCAAATTTAGCCACCAACCTCATTGTTACATGTTTTTCTTTCTGATAGGGTTAAAGTTCCTGTGATTTCATACTTAATGAATAAAATGATACTTGATTCTAATTGGTAAGTAGTACAATATTTAATTTCACAAATCAAAATGTTTTACAACTATCTGCATTTTAAAGGGTTGCTATAAGCTTCCCATATATAAGACAATATGGTGGCTCTAAGCAAATCAACTTAAGCATCGACAGAGGTGAGAAATTTATGCAAAGCTGGCGCCGCTGAATTTCAAAACCTAGCGAAGCTTCCTATGCAATGCGCGCAAGAACAGAATCAAGAGGATGGGCTTAAAACAAGATAACAATTTACCACTCTAAGTATTTCTTACATATAAAGCGGGAGGAAATATAATCAAGATTCACATATTGATATACTCAACTACGGTCAAATATTATCAACTATTATCCACGTACGAACCTTTTTGTATTTCATAGTGTTAGCTGTAGCCTTTGCTCTCTCTCCAGAAACCTTATCCTGTTTAAGGGAACTCTCGACATTCTTTACAAATGCTTCTCCCTTGCCACTTGCGCCAAACACTTGTTTGCCGATCTCTCCAACAATAGCGCCTGCAGCTTGACCAATTCCCCTGGCTATCTCTTTGCCTGCTTCTGAATCTGCTAGTGCTAATAAACTCGACGCAGCCGCTCTCTTTTGTTTAGGTGATTCGTTTGGAACTAAATGGCATAATTGATACGAATATTGCATTTGGTCAGTGAACGACATGTATTTAACTGCACCATTCAGTCTATAAGTTGAAGAGAGAATCAGATATAGCGAGCAGGCTAATAAAAAATTGTTTCAATTTTGGAATGTTTTTGGCTCATGTCATACCTTCTTATGTCTATTTTCTTAAAATCAAAAAAGCGCATACTTTATTCCAGGGAAACTAAAGATTTTTACAATAAAATATTATTTTTCTGTAAGAATGGTTACCATTCTTATTATTTGGGAGAATTTAAATACTTTCACCAATTTTTGCACTTTGAATCCATTATAACTTCACCAATTTATAACATATTGTGAATCTTTTAGGAGATATTGTATTTGATATTGAAAGGTATAGATTGGTAGGTCGATTATATATGTTGATTGTAATTTTGTCACTCTCTTTAGATCAGATTCTGCCTTAAACTTGTGTACATTGGGAAATTTTCTTCAATCCATACATATATTTCTATATTTCTAAATCAAAAAGTAACCGCAATCTTATTGTTTCTAAAGAGCTATTAGTGTGCCTTTTTATTACTTATGTGTGCCATTTTAATGGCTAATTATAAACGATAGTATTCATTATAAATATTATTATCATTTAAGTGCATAAGAAGATTTTCTACTAAGCTACTTTCTAAGGATATTAAACTCTAGTGAAACTTTATTTTAAGATACTTTGTATTAAAACACAATTATGGTTTCGTACCTTCTTCCTTTGCCGCTCGTTTTACTAAGCTTTCGAGGCCATCTGGTAAAGTGACCGATGTTTCTCTTTTAGATGTGAAGTTCCCTGAAATATAAACGAAGAAATAAAGGTATCTAACGAGAGGGATTAAAAGCTCGATGTCGGATCAGAAACTAAATAAATGATGAACCAGATGAACAGTTTTCACAAGGACACATGAATTACTGAATTATCCCCAAATACAATACAATTTCAAAACGAATCAAATGTACATTTTCACAAGGACACATAGTCATATTTCAATGACTAAATTATCCCGAAATACAATACAATTCCATAGCGAACCAGATGAACAGTTTTCACAAGGACACATGAATTACTGAATTATCCCCAAATACAATACAAATTCAAAACGAATCAAATGTACAATTTCACAAGGACACATAGTCATATTTCAATGTCTGAATTATCCCGAAATACAAAACAATTCCATAGCGAACCAAATGAACAGTTTTCACAAGGACACGTGAATTACTGAATTATCCCCAAATACAATACAAATTCAAAACGAATCAAATGTACAATTTCACAAGGACACATAGTCATATTTCAATGACTGAATTATCCCGAAATACAATACAATTCCATAGCGAATCAAATGAACAGTTTTCACAAGGACACAGGAATTACTGAATTATCCCAAAATACAATACAATTTCAAAACGAATCAAATGTACAATTTCACAAGGACACATAGTCATATTTCAATGTCTGAATTATCCCGAAATACAAAACAATTCCATAGCGAACCAAATGAACAGTTTTCACAAGGACACGTGAATTACTGAATTATCCCCAAATACAATACAAATTCAAAACGAATCAAATGTACAATTTCACAAGGACACGTGGTCATATTTCAATGACTGAATTATCCCCAAATACAATACAATTCCATTGCAAATCAAATGAAAAGTCTTCACAAGGACACGTTGTTATATTTCAATGTCTGAATAATGCCCCGTATTTTACAACATATGCCATACACCATAGCCGACTGAATAATTTTTTAAGTCATGAACGTAATTAAACAACTAGTATTATATTCTTTTTGCAAGAGGCCTTCAATCATCAATTCGATCTAATGTTTAAAGTCAGCTGTAATAAATATTTTGTAAATAATATTTTGCAATAGTACTCATCACTATATAATTAGTGTTCATGACATGCTTGTTAGGCCATCAGCTTCGCCCCAAAATTTAGAATATCGGTGAGATGAATAGTCATCACAAGGACACGTTGTTGTATTTCAATGTCTGAATTATCCCGAAATACAATACAATTCCAAAGCGAACCAAATGAACAGTTTTCACAAGGACACGTGAATTACTGAATTATCCCCAAATACAACACAAATTCAAAACGAATCAAATGTACAATTTCACAAGGACACATACTCATATTTCAATGACTGAATTATCCCGAAATACAATACAATTCCATAGCGAATCAAATGAACAGTTTTCACAAGGACACAGGAATTACTGAATTATCCCAAAATACAATACAATTTCAAAACGAATCAAATGTACAATTTCACAAGGACACATAGTCATATTTCAATGACTGAATTATCCCGAAATACAAAACAATTCCATAGCGAATCAAGTGAACAGTCTTCACAAGGACACATGAATTACTGAATTATCCCCAAATACAATACAAATTCAAAGCGAATCAAATGTACAATTTCACAAGGACACGTGGTCATATTTCAATGACTGAATTATCCCGAAATACAATACAATTCCATAGCGAATCAAATGTACAGTTTTCACAAGTACACAGAGTCATATTTCAATGACTGAATTATCCCGAAATACAATACAATTCCATAGCGAATCAAATAAATAGTCTTCACAAGGACACGTTGTTATATTTCAATGTCTGACTAATGCCCCGTATTTTACAACATATGCCATACACCATAGCCGACTGAATAATTTTTTAAGTCATGAACGTAATTAAACAATTAGTATTATATTCTTTTTGCAAGAGGCCTTCAATCATCAATTCGATCTAATGTTTAAAATCAGCTGTAATTAAAAAACATCTGTTAAACTTTTAGTAGATGATGGTACTCAGTAAGACAATCAAAGATTGGGGAATATACCGTTCAAAAAGATGAGGCCCTGTGCCATGTTTGCAACTGAAATATACTGTTGACTTGTAAAAGTATTTTGCAATAGTATCCATCACTATATAATTAGTGTTCATGTTAGGCCATCAGCTTCGCCCCAAAATTTAGAATATCGGTATCAAGTTCGGGAATAATCACCATAGTGATTTTTGGAAAAGTGAAGACCTCTAGAGTAAGAAAATATGTGATAGCATTGCAACAGTTGTAGCTAAATGGGTGTAATCAACCATTTTTCAAAATCGGAGTCATCAAATAATTGATTTTCATAGAAATCCAAGATGGCTGTCAAAATGGGTGCCAAAACGAATTGGTAACTATTGATTGAAACTCAAAAAAACCTTAAGAACAGAGAATTTGTAGCCCATAATCACATTTTAAGACACGTACAATAGACGTAAAAACAGTGATTTTGGAGCCTATTTGTACATCTTAGGGGTCACAGATTTCATTTAATAGTCTAAATCGAAGTCATCAAATAATAACTTTTTTCAAGAAATCCAAAATGTTCACCAAATTGGGTGCCGCACTGCATATGTAAATATTGATTTAAGCTTAAAGAACAGTTGAGAACAGTTTTAGGGGTCAAGGATTTCATTTATGTCTAAATCCAAGTCATCAAACAATTACTTTATATAGAAATCATAGATAAAATTAATAAGTAACTATTGATTTAAGCTCAAAGAACAGTTAGGAACAATGATTTTGTAGACCATGTATATTTTGTAGGGTAAAGCCATTTATGTTTAAATCTAAGTTATCAAATAATTACTTTTTATATAAATCCAAGATGGCCACCAAAATGGGTGCCAAAACAAATATGTATCTATTGGTTCAAGCTCATAGAACAGTTCAGAACACAGATTGTGGAGACCATGTCCAGGTTTAATGGGAGTTTCAATTATTTTAATAACTAAGTCATCAAATAATTCCTCCATTTGGACATCAAGAAGGCCGCCAAAATGAAGTGAATATGCAACTTTTGATCTTAACATAGAGCAGCTAGGACATTATTTTTGGATATCATTTTATACTTTGTGAGGTCTATATGGATTTCCAAGATGGCTGCCAAAATAAACAATTAATATAACTATTGATTCAAGCAAGAGGCCTTTAATCATCGATCTTATTTAATGTTTAAAGTCAACTGTAATTAAAACACATCTGTTAAGAAGTAAGAAAATATGATTACACCTATTTAGCTCCAACTGTTGCAATGCTATCACATATTTTCTTACTCTGGAGGTCTACACCTTCCCAAAAATCACTAAGGTGATTATTCCCCTGAATTAATACCGACCAACCCCCCAGGCTGATGGCCTATTTTTATATATATTTATTAAAACTCACCAGGGTGCCCTTGACATAGGCTCAAAAGCAAAATCCCGGTTGTCCAGGTAACAGTCGTCTTTATGCCCATGGCTGCTGTCGTATGCGATTTCGACAGGTCATTGACGAGAATGGTTTGCGCTGGGAAATGTACTGGTTATAAAACACCAAAATGCGTACAAAATTATTTATTACTTTGACATAAAACAATTATTCTAAAAAAAACTTATTAATAGGGGCTTCGGTAATAAAAATAATTATCCCGCGATTATGCAGTATAGTTTTGTGGCTGGCGCACAACCAAAGCCCTGGAAAACTCAAACCCTTGATGTTTTATTCGTGCCTTGGAAAATCCAAATGGATCTTTAATCGAGATTCCACAAGAAAACAGATAAGTGACGGCAATCATTTTTGGGGAGGGGGTAGGGCATGCAGAATGCAGAATGCATCTCAAAAAGGAAAAGGGTATAATTGTAATGTCACACAAAGTTGGTAATGTTTTTGAAATGCATCTTTAGCAGTTTTATTCGTCATTAATTCATCAAAGCTGCAACAGCATTTGTCGAAACTAAAAAGTACACTTTGTTTTTCTTCAAAACCAAACATCGCATCTCACTATAATTTTGAGATGTATTTTACCTCTGTATAAGTAACATATCATATCATGGAAAGATTTTCATTATATCAAATAGATAAATGATGTTATCTCATGATTCTACTACTTCTCTGCGAATAACACCTATATTATATATTTGATATTGAAAAAATCATACTGCTCAGGCAAATTGTCTTCACCTCCCGACCCCGCTCACGAAAATTAGCAAAGTACATATACTAATAGGAAAGAATTGCACTAAGTCTTCGAAAGTACATGCAAGTTGACGTTGGGGTAAAAATCCGAAATACTGTGAATGAATCATATTCTCCTATTTTTGGTTTCATAACAAAGGTCAATTGCTTACCAGTATATAATGAAAAATAATAATAACTAGAGTTGTAAATTGAACAAAGTTTAATTAAAGACTCCGGATTGATTGACTTAGATAGTTGAGTAAAGAGCTGAGTAAGTAACTGAATAGAAAGCTGAGTAAGTAGATGATTAAGTTATTGAGTAAGTAGCTGAGTAGGTACTTGAGTAAGTAGCTGAGTAGGTAGCTGAGTAAGTAGCTGAGTAGATAACTGAGTAAGTAGCTGAGTAAATAGCTGAGTGAGTAGCTGAGTAGGTAGTTGAGTAGTAGGTAGCTGAGTGAGTGGGTAGGTATGTAGGAATTTTTGAAAGTATATTTGATGGATCTGCATTGTGGATACTGGCAAATGGGAATTTCAAAATGGCGTAGAATACGTTAAATTTGGAGAACTTCTTGTGTGAACCTACTTTCCAGACGCCATATTTAAAATTGGTAAGAGTAATCAAAAACGGATGGCCTACCTCGATTCGGCTTTTTTAAGCTACAAAGTGAAATATACATCGAGCTGTTACGATAGATAAGGGCAAAAATAATTGACATAATGCTAAAAATGTAAGATTTGACCTGGATCTTGACCTTTGACCTAATTTCCCGAAAGCCAAGATACCATACTTAGTTACTTAGTTTTCAATCTGGAGTCTAATAATAAAATTAATAATTAACTGTCCAGACAAATTATTAATTTATTAATATTTTAGACCAGTGCAAAGCTGTAAAATATGGTGTGATTTGCAACAAAGGTCAACAGGTCAATAACTTGGAATTAAAAAATAGATAGCAAAATGTTTTGAACGAACGGTCAACCGAAAGTCAGATCTGATATTTAGCTTGTAAATGTTTTCTTGCAAAACTGAAGATAAAAACGAGTCAGATCTGATTAAAAAATATCGACTCCAATTTTGATATTGTGAATCCTCCACATTTGGGGTTTCCATTGAACCCAGCTTGTTGGGTCTGTATTAAATACAGCTTAGGCTTATTAGCTTAGATATATATAGGATATCCTATGATTTTTTAGGGATACCATTTTTTATCCACGAGTCGATAAAAATGTAGCCCGGGAAATCATAGGATATCCAATTTATCCTATGGTTTTGTTTACCTTTATTTTTTCATGTTAAAAACTCCTCAACAATTTTAACATCAAGTTTTGTTTTTTTCACTGTGTTCGCGTTTTTCTGAGTGTCACAAAGATCTTTTGGATCTTTGTTTATTAACCTGGAAGTTGGTTTGTCAATTTCACTAGAATTGATTCAAACTCGCCGCCATGGTTTATTTACTCTTGTCCTCGACAATATTACCACGCATGTTCTAAAAAAAGCCTGTGTATAAAATCAAAACAAAATAAATAAAACAACATTTAATTCAAAATTTGTTTAGAATCTACTCAAATTGAGCACGATTTATACAAAGTGATTACATGAAGACATCTAAATCATCGTATTAAGACTGATAATACTTGGAACTATATTCTGGCAGTGCAATGAGGCAAGACTGTTATTTGTCAAACCATTTAGGCAGTGAATTCAAAACTTATAAAAAATAGTATCCGTCGGATACGTCATATATGGATCGGATACGATTTTAGTGTCGTATATCAAAATTATCTTGTGTTGTTAGTATTCATCGGATAAGAGATATTATCCTACACTTTGTGCTAAATGTATAACATTAAAAATTAATTTGATATCTATTGGCAAAGTGAATAACCGGAGGATATCGCCACAATATACTCCGGAAAACCCAATATGCGGATGATATTATGACGATATACTCCGCTTGTTAATTTTCCGCCAAATTGACTCTATTTGGCATGAAATTCATTTTGCAATATTATACATTTAGTACACTCCTTGTAAGTGTATGATAATAAGAACATCCTATGATTTTTTCAGAATATCATTTTAATCTACTCGGTGATATTGATATATGCACTCGTTCACTTTGCTCTCTCATGCAGATATCAATATCACCTCGTAGATAAAAATGATATTCCTCAAAATAATAGGATATCCTGTAAATATGTTTTATCTATCAATTTCTAATTTATTCCTCGACATGAATTGTAATGACTTCAGTATAAATGAAATGTATCTTGGTGTTCTTGTCTTAGATTGTGATATCCGTTCTTGGGGAAAGGGGGTATTGGACATTGTTTCTTTTCACATTAGATCATTGTTTTGGGATATACGGGGCTTGTTTTTTCTTGACTGGTATGTACTTAGAGTTTGCTTTTTCTTGTTAAGTTCCATTACTACTTTTGGTTCTTTCCCTTTGGCATTCATGATTATATATATTTAACATATTTAGATTTTAGGTGAGATCTCCCTTGGATTCCAAGGTGGATGCACATTTTTGTGCAAATTATACGCCCCTCGCTTTGCTCGCAGCAGTATCAACATCATCAAAACCTTTTTTCTCTGTCGCCATTCTTTTTATGTACCCTGTCTCTGTGGTTAGTCAATCGAAAACCAGTTTCACTAAACGTTGATCTTTATTTTTCCACTTTCAAACAAGTCCATTTCAATTGAGATGATTGACAGTTTGAGAGCATGCTTTATTTCATTTTACCTTTTCAAAATTGTTTTTTATTTTTCTTGCCAATATCGGTAGTATTTGCTAAAAAATAGTCATTGATTTTGAGTTTTCAAGTTTTGCCAGTTGATATGCGCTCTAGAGAACTCATATGTTTTTCACACGACACCTTTTTAGGTTAAACCAGGCTATTGCTTAATGGTTGAGAGATAAAGAGCGAAACCAACCAGTCTTCTCCCAGGCCCATAGCCCCCCCCCTGGCCAAAAATTCTTTCAAAATCATGCAGTTTTTCACCATTTTGAGCACTTCTCAGGTGATTTTAGCCATATTTGGGCCAAAATTGTCAAATGTGAACCCCCCTGGAAATTTCTAAAAACTGACCCCCCCCCCCTTGGCAAATCCAGACTCCTGATGACAATTGTGAAATATTATGTTGATGATGGCGATGGCTTGCTGCGGATGGAGGTTGACCCTGCTTATGGACTTCGAGATGTGCGTTTGTCATTCCCGCATCATTTGAATACTAAGAATACTAAATACTACTATGTACAACTATTTTTGATGTTTTGAGTATTGGCTATGTCAATATCAATATAAACATTTTGCTTGGATAGATTGCTACATGTATCCACGACCCATGGTATCATCGATCTTGCCAATATATCATGCTTTTTGGAACAGTCCTTTAAACAAAGGTTGACCTGATTTTTTTACATTCCCCATATCGTAATGTATACAAATATGCAAACCAAATGTGTGCCAAAAAGTAAGATACCTTTAGATTTTCATTTTTTCATCTTGAATCTAATTTGTGTTAGTATTAAAATTCCATAATATGAGTTATAATTAGTTTCACGAATGAAAATGCTTTAATTGATATTCATATATATGCCTGATGAATGTATCACCATTTTCGGTTGGTCGCCATTGATTCAAATTTGCGCTCCATTTACTTCATCTGGTAAAGTACACGGAATTATCTCCCCTGTATTATCGCGGAATTTCATGACAAAACCAGCGTCAGCTTGAATCCACTTGTTAATATTTTGGCTATAGACACGAGCCAGCCACATGCCCTAGACAACTCATCCCCTGGACAACTCAACCTTTTTCACCTGAATCTAAACTGAAAGTGTTTCCTGGACAACTCATCCCCTAGACATCTCATCCCTTGGACAACTCATCCCCTAGACAACTCATTCCCTGGACAACTCATCCTTTTTTGACATTAAGCTAAATTGTAAGGTGTTTCTTTCTATTTAACAAATACACCTTGGATATTTAAAAAAAGTTTAAATGTTACAATTTCATTGTATTGAACCAAAAGGAATATTACGAAAATGTTAAATTGTGCTTTTACAGTATTGGCCTATCTTGTCATTAGAATCGAAATGGAGGAATGGTTATATCTTACTCAAACTATAATATGAGATACACCATGTACGGTCGGTTTTGGATATAGGGTATATCCCTTGGGAAATATTTATATCCCCCTTTGGTCCCGTTGGTCCCTCGGGGAGATATACCCATATCCCTCAGGATATACCCTATATCCAAAACCTACCAGTACATAACCCTTATATATCA